GAGTGTATATGTAATGTATACTTAGGCAGCAAAAATTAATTCAGATATGTTTTATTAAAATTTACTTAATTTTTTTTCCAGGTTGTGTTTAAGTTGTCCCACATCCAAATCAATTTTATAGAGAACCTGTTCAAAATTAACCATGTTTTTGTTCCAGTATTTTCAATGATCTCTTGACAGTATCAGATTAATGTTATCAGTGCTATAGAAAAATGTTTTATTAGCTTCATTCTTGCATTCAGAAAAGCTAAAATATCAATCCAAGAGTCATTGCGAAGTTGATAAAAGAAAGATGTTCTGTTAATATAGGGTTCTTGTTTGATTGGAGAATGGAAAGAGATATCTATAGACACTATTATAGGGTTAGAATTGCCAGGAGGACAGAGCTGCAGAGCATGACATGAGTTTGAGGAGGAGGTAAGGAATTTTATATTATTTTTCTGAAATTTTTAAAAGTTAATTTTATTCAATAAGTGCTTGCTTTATGCTACCCAATTTTTTATAAAATTATTTGAAGAAATTAATTTAGCATGTTTGATCATGTACTTCATAACTATTTTATATCTGTGAGAAAGGTGGACAAAAGTTTTTTGCTTTTTATTTAGCATGTTTGTATCATCATGGTTAGCAGCTTGCTAGATCTATTATGACTGAGTAGTGAGTGTGTCACTGAGTGCTCCATACTTTTGGCCTAGTGTCACATCTAAATTACACTTAGTAAAATTGTGACACTTCCAAATCCAAATCTAGGGCCTTCTCACTCCTCCTGGAGGAACTCCTCTCCAAATGACGATGTGTTCAGTGGTGGACAAAAGTTTCACCAATTGCCGGTTGGTGAGGCTATGTAAACCATAGGTTGAGGTTTCAAATTCAGGGTTGTTTTTCTCCTAGACTGAGTCCCATCCAAGGCTAAGGGGACACAGTCTTTCCTGCTATTTACCTATAGTTGGGATGGGGGAAAGATGGATTCATACATTTCCCAAGGGTATTGGCATATAAGTAAATATAATAAACTCAAGTGGAATTCAAACTCTGCTTTGATACCTCAATCTGAGCTGCTATCCATTACTTCATTGTGACTCCTCTTAGAATTGACTAAAACATCAAAAAAAAGAAATTTTGTTATTAGAAGAAAATTTTTCAAAGGTATCTATGAGGGTTTTTTCTTTGAATGTTTCATGTTAACATGTCATCAATATACTGAATAGACAGGTTTGGTAAACTTTTAACAGAATTTGTTTTCTAAGTGGCCCATGTAGAAATTAGATAAAGTAAGACCAAAAGGTAACCATAGCTAGGCCATCAAACTGTGTAAACATCAGTGATCACAAAACAGTACTCGTGATGTGCAAGATAGAAGTTTAAGGGGAATTATTGGTTTAATATATGGTCCATCTCTAAAGATGCTGTAAAAATGGTCAGTTCCTAGTAACACTCTTGAAAGTACCAAACTCCTGTCATGCACTATCATTACAAGAGCTAGATTAGAATATAAAACCATATCTAGGTTGACTTTCCAATTCAAAAAATTTACAAGGTTGAATTTTCATTCCTACAGACAAAACATTGAGCCTCCTCACTCCAAGGCCTATTTTCATGGGATGTCCAGATGATTTCATTCCTTATTTTCTCAGCCCAGACCTTATAGTTGGGATCCAACATGCCATATACAAAAGTTATATATATATATATATATATATATATATAATGATTTCCTTTCTTAATATAAGAAAAAGGTAAATTAAAAAAAATATAATGTTAAATATAATTTATTTATTTATATAAAATCTTTCTTCAGAAATAACTGTTTTGTTCAAATAAATTAAAATTACTGTTTGTTTACAAGAGCGTCCATCACTCTTGAGAATGATATGGAAGCAGTGTTGAATATTCTTAACGTAAATTTAACCAGTTATTTCTGAAGAAAGATTGAGGCCATTCTGAAATAGAATATATATATAAATAAATACTTTCAAAAAAACAAATTTTTTTAATTTGCAACTTTTTATATATATATATATATATATATATAAGAATGTCTCATATTTACACTTGTGCATATAAAGACACTTGATTTTCTAAAATACAACATGCTAGGGTTGAGAGAAAATGTTCCTCTTTTAAATCCTTTCACCTCAAACAAGACAATAAAGGCACTAAGACACAGGTTTGAAAGAATACGAGAAAAAAACAATAAAAGAAATGAGTTAAGAATAATAAAAAACAAAAAATAATAATAATAATAATGACATTGAAGATCAAAGTTGAGTGGAAGGCACAAGGCTAAAAGAAAGTTCCATAAGTGAGAAGTGCAAGAGAAAAAACATGTTTACATAGAACTTATGGTTACATCTAGGCATTTCAACTGTAAAATTATGAGACCTAGCAGCCAATCTAGTACTGTGTGTAAATTCGTAAATTCAATATACCAAAGAGGAAAATTAATCAAGACAATTACCACGAAGGTATTTATAGTAAAGGCATAGAGGAGCTATGTTATGATAGTGGGAAATTGACTGAAGTTGAGATACTAGGTCAGAACCAATAAAATTTCAGATTCTTCTTTAGACTTTTTCTAAATATATATAGGAGCACCAGACCAAATGGCAGCAATATTTAATGCATGGATGAATGATGACTTATAAAAAATAGGTTCTGGCAAGAAAATACAATACACAATAGGCCCTCAGTCATGATCAAAACATCCATATAGTAAAGTGGACTGTAGATTATTTTATCTGGCAGTATCAGCAGTTTTTATGACTGCATAGCCAGTAAAACTTACATGCAAGATATTCAATGTAACCACTTGCTGTTTACAAATAGAGAAAAAAGAAATTAAATAGACAAAACCTTTCAGGATATAAACTGGATGTAGGGAATTCTGGCTGTGTGGTGTATATAAGCACACAAGTGGAATTCCCTAGATCTGGCTGCATTCTAAAATGGCCAGTGATAGAGTGGTCATGTAAAAATAAGAAACTCTTGGAAATGTAGTCATGGTTAATGTAAAAAGAATTGTCAATAAAAGTCATTTGGCAGAAGAAGAAAAGATGAAAGGACCCAAGTGTAATCTACATATCCCTAGGGAAAGTACGAAGTCTGACTTGAAATAAAATTCAATAAATTCTTTTCTTGCTGTAACCTTATTTTACTTTCCATTCCTTTGTTGAACTTACATTGAGCTTTTTCTTGTTTTTGTTCATACTAACACAAATTGGAAACACATTGTGGGGTGAAACTGTTCAGTTAGGTGAAAAACTACCCAATGGTGTCACTTATTTTGTTTTTTTTTTGTTCATTTTCTTGTATATTATTTTCTTTATTTTCAGAATAATACTAAAATAACATCTGAAATTGTCATTGTATAATGGATATTTGAAGGCCCTATGTTTTAATGAGAGTTACCATTATATATAAGACTACTTATGCTTCAGAGTAATAAAATTAGATATATTAGCACATCTATTATTATCTTGGATATTTTTACATCTATGTTTTAATGAAAGTTATTAGAAATTGGTATAAACTTATTCTTAGATTAGTAAGACAAGTTTTAAGATACTATCTGCTATGTTGGATATTTAAATCCTTATATTTTTTATTGTTAGAGTTATTAGAAATTTTTATATAAAACTAATATATATTATTTTGGCAAAGAAAATTAAATTTGCTAAAATAATTATACTAATAAGCATCCCTGCCTTTGTTTTTTTTTTCCCATACAAAAAAAAATGTCTTAATTGTTATTGCCTTCAACTATGGATGGCTTGGTTTCACAAGTGTGTCTGAAAGCAAGATGTACATATGCATGATGTTGCACTGAATGTGCTAAAAGTATGCAAACTTTCTCTTTACTGCATCCTGAGAAGTTTAAAAAAAAAAAAAAAAAAAAGAATGGTCTAGCCAAAGTTATTCAAGACATTTTGGCATGAAACATTAGGAAGTAGCATTTGCTTGAACAGATTTATTGTCTGAGGCTTTAGTTAAACCTTGATAAGTTTAAGTTTTTAGAAAATGTATTTGTACCTTAAAAAGAAAAAAAAAAAAAGAGAAGAAAAAACAAATATCAAATAATCACAAAACATCGATTATGTCCGACTCCTCTTTAATCACTTCAAAATATAACAATGTTACTCATTATAGAGCATGATTTAACACATGCAAAGCAGGAATTATTATTTACACTTGCATGCTTTGGTAGAAAAGATAAACAAATACAAGATACAAGATTAAGGAAATAAAAATTTAAGTTTTATTATTGTAATTTAAAATGAAAATTTAGATCTGTGAAATTGTTAAATGACGACAAATAACGCACAAATCACCAAATATCATTCACCTATTTTTTTTTTCTGACTGGCAATTATTTATACTCTCTCTTTCAGTTGTTACATCATAAGATTGGAAAATTACAAGATCTAGACTACAAACTTTGGTGTCATTCATTTAAAATCTGATTAAGTAAAATAGCTTGCTCTTACAAAATAAGAAAAAAAAAAAAACCTGTAGGTAAACTCCCTTATCCTGAAGACTTACCGAAAATAGGTCAGTCTACAAACAATTGCCCTCTGGAATTACCAACTTGGAGTTAAATAACACCACTTTGTTGTGGCAGCAAACAAAGAAATAACCATCTGTGTCTGAAGGAAGATGGTTTATAAAAAAAAAAAAAAAAAGTGTTTTTGGTTGTAGCCAATTTGAGAGAGTTTAAAAATATTTTGTACAAACACTTAAATTGGAATCATGAAAAGACTAATATTTATTTTACCCAATTATTTGTTTCATTCATTAACATAAAAAAAAAGAGAACAATGATTTGTATATACAACATACAAATAAAAAGACACTACAGTGCAATTAAAATGAGAGAAATTCATGCATTAGTTTAATTCTTTGTGGAGTTCTTCTATGGCTGAAATGCATTTGCAGTGAATATTGTCATTGCTTGAAGGAATTAATGTCAACCATACAAAACTTAATTTGTAGAAAAAACTAACTACAAAGCTTTTTCACAAAGAGAGTGTTTCTGCTCTACAAGTTCTTTGATGCGAGTGTCCAGTGGGAAAATTGATGCCCATTTGTTCAGATGAAGTTTGCGTTTCTCATTTTTGAAGAATTTCCTTTTGGTCAACACCAGGACTTGGGTATCTACAAAGTAATTTTAAAAAAAGCTTATTAAAAATTAACTATTACAGCTATACAAGACATGCAATTTTTTTTTTTTTTTTTTAAGAAATTGAATTATTCAACCTGTAAAATTTGAGGAGAATTTATAGATTTTCTTCCTAAACCAGAATTGTTGAGTTGGTACATCAAAATTTGATTCAAATTTCTATGTATTTTTTTTTTACTATTAAACTGACAAATTTGGATTTCTTCATTAATAACAAATTCATATTAACATCTGTCTATATTTCTGAGATGAGTACTGTAACTTTTTGCCCTTTTTACATTGTTCGGACTGTTGTCCTCATATTTATTGTGATATTCATAACACATGGCCCAGTGGATAAAAAGGGAAATAACTGAAACTGAGATATCCAGAAAAGTAAACAAAATAAACGGTTTGGTTCGAAATTCCAACATACATCACCTGAAGAAGGCTGGAGCATACAATGGTTGAAATGTCATGAATATGACAATATAGTTGAGGACAACAGTCCAAACAATGTAAATTGTGTAAATAAATTTATATTATTTAGTAATAAATTTTGGGTATTGTGTCATAAAATATTTTTTTATCTTGAATTTTGGTGATGTGCTCAAATATGGCTGACTTCATGAAAAGCTTCTTTGAGTTGATAAATTCATTTTTTTTTTTTTTTTTTTTCTCAAGCAAAATCACATATTTTAAATAAATAATAAATGTTAATGCTGATAATTGAGACTTTATAAATTAGGTATGTGTAAATGTTTCCGGTATCTTTTTTTTTTTTTTAAACTAGAAAACATAGTAGAAAACTACTTGATTTTTTTAAAATTAAAAACATCTAATAAAATTTGTTCTTAAAATTACACACACCTAATAAAAAAATTACACATACTTAATAAAAAAAAAAAAAAAAAAAAGTTAAATTTTTGATATTGTAAAGTTTTATTTAAAATTGAACTAGGAATTTGTGCATTATTCCTAATCCCTACGCTGTGTAATCATGTTCCCTGTTGATTCTCCACTGACTCATCACTGACAACTCATCACCAGGACAACTCCGTGACATGCAAACTATGAAATTTTTTTGTTGACTTTTTAAAAACAAAAGTAATTTATTAAGGATCATATCTTAATACATGAATTTATTCTTAATTTAAAAACTTGTTGATAATTGTCTGCAATTCCCGTCAAATATTCAGTTGGAGATCATTGTGAAGGAGAAGAAAATCTGCAAAATTCTTTTATCTGTCTTCATAAAATACTTCAATTTAGGGGGAGCAGAATGACTCCCAATTAGTAGCTCAAAAAATGCATCTCAATTTCTTTGCACCTTTTACAGACACCGTAATAAATCAACATATTGTGAGGTGCTCCCATCCCCAACTCTGTGTACAATCTTCTATTTGCTGCTTCAGCATGTTTTTTTTTGTCTGATCAATTAAACACCAGTTAGCCAAATAGACTGTTGCAACTAACAAATCACTAAGACAAATAGCTAAACTTTAAAAATCTCTATGACTCAAAGCCAATCTAAGAGATATGCACACTATGACAGCCAACACTGGTCTGAAGATATGAATTTGACCCAAACATTAAGTTATTCTTGCACTGAGTAGGTTGGTGGTGAGTTGTCACAGATGCATTGGGTGGTATGGAGTTAATGGTGATGAAATGCCCTATCCTGCTTATCATGTGTGACTGGTTTAATGTTCTTGGGCTCTTCATCTTACTATATTTCATAATTAGAGCCCTCTGCATGGAACCATGGCACATTGAATTTCTATAAATAAATGCTAAGAAGAGGTGTGTAGTAGCATAATGTTAAATATCATGGAAAATGTAATCAATGAACCAAGTCACAAAACTGAAATGAAGCTTTGGGAATGGTACAAATCCATTGCTTGCATTATGCCTATGGTTGATGGAGAAAAAGAGTAGATGAATGAGCATTTGGTTAAACCACTTGCTCATTAAGTAGCATAAAAAAATCTCTACCTCTACTGTCAAATTTGATAGGGTATTATCAAGCAAGATGTAATGAACCAGAAAACAGAACCTTTCCATAAAATACAAAAAATTGTAATAATAAAAAAACGTTGATTTGTCATTGTTATACATACTTTGTGTGTATTTGAAATGATCTGACCAACATCATTCATTCATTACAGTTCTTTCATGCCCCTTATTTACCATTCTATCTATATAATACTGAAACTCTAATCTTGTATGTATGTGTGTTCCTGAGATACAACTTAAAACAATGCATAATAATGCTGAGTGCAATGCCAAATTTCATTAAAATTAGACAAGAGTTTCTTGAGCTAGGGCCATTTTTCTGTTTTTAAGCAAATTTATTTTAGGAAATTCGGCATTTTTTTTTCAATACAAATTCTTATATCAATCCACATACATAAACAAACACTTGCATATTATATTCTAATTAACTTAGGATAATCCATTTTTTAAAAAAATCCCCAAGTTTTGATACCCATGATTATTACCAACATAGGGATATTAAGTTATTATCATTCTTTCTTCAGCATGATTGACTGTACAATCACTGTCTTCTGATTTGGGAGAAACCAAATAAGGGCTTAACTTAACCACCAATTGATCGAATCAGGCCACTCTGACAACCTGTCATTAAGTGCCAAAGTGGTGTGTTGGGAATCTGAAGTATCTAAACCAGACTCCTGAAGCCCTCAATAATCAGTATCCTGTCCTCATACATTATGAGTTGCCACCCACAGTAAACAGGTAGCCTCATTTGTTACACTTCTGGATAGGTGCAGTCGGTATATTCTGAAACTCCAACCAACAGGACAGATCGCATCAATGTTTGATGGTGCCACTTTAACCATTACTTTTATACATTACCCATAACTTTTTGCACATCATAGTAGTATAGTATGTTCAGTAGTAGGGACATTTTTATGAATATCTGGTTTTGACTGTTTCTATGGAAACTGAATGCAATAGATTATCCATATGGGTTTGGCCAACATCACATGTTTGTATAAAAAAAAAACTATTTTTTAAAAATCTCATTTTCAGACTATCACCTGAATGATTCTGGAGTTGAAGACAACACAAATACTTTAAAAATTAATTTACCTGGGGATTTCATTACATCGCACTTGCAGTGGACTGGCATACAGACTTGAGTATTTATGTCAATTGGCTTCTGAGATTCCTGCTTTTCATCAATCTGTACTATTACTCTAGACTGGGCCTTCAGAATATCAATTTTGTAGGCTGGAAAACAATGATGCAAACACGAAATGTTGATTGGCAAGAGAAAAAGGAAATTCAAATACATTTTCTTTAGTAGAAATTTTATTGAAGTGAACATAATTTTTATTTTAATAAAATAAATTTTAACTTATCTACAAGATATTTAATGAGGTGAAGAGAGAAAGGAGAGACAAAGAGGCGGAAAGAGAAAGGAGAGACAAAGAGGCGGAAAGAGAAAGGAGAGACAAAGAGGCGGAAAGAGAAAGGAGAGACAAAGAGGCGGAAAGAAAATGAGAAGAGAGAAAAAAGAAAAAGGTACTCACCAGCAGGAGCATTGCAGAATAATTTAGTGAAATTTGCTGAAATACTTGTATAACAAACTGGACATGTCTAGAAGTGGTGAAAAAAGAAAGAAAGAAAATAAACATTTTGATATTCAATTTTTTCAGAACATATTTAACATCAATAATTTAACACACTGTCAACCACAAGATAACATGTGGTTTGCAATTTTTATTATGATGTCCACTACACATTATTTCCTGCTGACTATCTTGTTATCTTGTGCTTGGTATTTTCCAATACATTTTCATCTGCAGGTGCAAAAAATTTTATTCACTTTGTTACTTTTAGTGTGAAAACAATCTTAATATTTCAGATGAAGTTATAAATCCATTCATAAAAATTTTTTATTGTCTAATGTTGGCTATTATAGAAACTGACATTTGAAATTAAATTTTGTAATTGATCTCTGTTAAGCAAAATTCAGTACTTCTGGAAACATTCCAAATTTGGACAAATAAACTCTTTTGTTGGTGTTATTTTTCCATTTCAGTTAATCCATTGTACATTTTTTTTTTTTTTTTTTTTACATGTGAAGAAAAGCTGTAGAACGGATTAGCTAAATCTTTGTAGTAACAACATCAACAGGACAAAAAGAAACTCAAATTGTCTAGGCAACGCTTAATAACATGTTATAGACAATACTTCTGGATATGATTGTAAATCTCCCTTTAGTCAAGAAAATATAAATCCAATCAAAGAAATGCAGCACCATTTTCAATTAATTTCATGATGGAAGCCAACAATCGTGAGATATAAATCCACACTGTAGAATTACCATATTCTTCATTATTGATATATAAACCAATACAAAAATGTTTCTGATCTCTTGGCTTTTACCCTTTTTCTCTCACCTAAGAATGTCCTAGAGAAACTAGTGACATCACATTATTGTATATATATTTTACACTTGTTGATATTACTATATTACTATATGCTGTGTATTCATTAGTGAAGGGAGATACCATAACAATACAATGAACTGAAAACCAACTGACATAATATTGATATTAACAAGCAATTCTTTTTACAGACAAAGCATGAGAACAACTCACCAAGTATATATCAACTAATGTGGTAAAGGATAATAGCAATATCATCAGTTGAAATTGTTAAGGGTTCCACTCCTTTTTCATACAAGTGGACTCACCCAGTGTGTACTTGTACTGCTGCCGGTGAATACCCGGAAGTCAGACAGTGAGAGTGTGAGGTAACCGCTTTGTTAGAGTCACAGTTGTGAGCACTTAGAAGGAAGTCATACTTCGGTACTGAATTTCCCAGACTGTATATATATATATTATTATTGCTACTAACCGCATTTCTGGATCTACTAACCATATTACCAATTGTATTATTACGTCAATACATTTATTTGCTATATTTCATTCCTGCGTTTGTCATTCATTTGAGACCGGATTTCATCCCGGAATCCACAACAGAAATTTATAAAATCTTTCTTTTAAAACAATTTTTCATGAAAATACAATTCTCAAGTCCAGTAATTGTATGTTCTTTCCAGTATTTTTTTTTTAATCAGCTCATCCTAAGCAAGGCAATAACACCATTAAGAAGCAAGGTGCTACTGGAAATTAAAGAGAAGGAAAAGACTTTAGAAGGATTTAGAACCACAATAATAGTATAAATTTCAGAGTTTAGGTGGAGATGTTAGAAGTATAGAGTTGAAGTAGAATTTAGAAGTATTGATGGGAGCTTTTTTCCTAAACTTTTATTTGAAGTAGTGTGAAATATTAACATCTTGATTATGTCATTTTCTCTTCAAGTTACATACACTATCCAAGTGATGTGGTTTCCGTTATTTGGTACAATTCTTTGTGATTCTGTAGCACCAGTCAACAAAGTTTGAAGAAGAATGATTCTTGCTAAGAGCTACAGTATTCATTCACTTGAACATATTTTTAACCCTTGATCTGAGAAAGTGGTTGTATACAGCTGATAGTTTAAATATTTCTGAATGAGTTTAGTGATGTGTGTGATATGATCCATTTCCCCCACTAATGAATATGCCCTGAACACACATATTTAAGAGAATTCTGCTGCTATGCAGAGTTTCTTAAAGCTCTAAGGAGTCAGGCAGTCCACTGTCTGGCTTTGCTTGTCAACCTCTCTGGCTTTGGGCAGGGAAGAACCCAGATGATGCTATGCCTACAGGCAGAGACTTGTCTGGGGAGGTAGACAGCAACAACCCCGTGTATACTGGGTCTACAGGGAATTTTGGCTGAGCATAAGGGCTTGGAATGCCCCACATAAAAAAACAGCCTTGTGTCACATCTCGCCTTTGTGAGAAGGACTTGGGTAAATATCAAGTTCATTAAAGCTCTGCTAGTTGACCTCTCTGTCTTTGGGCAGAAATGAACTCAGATGAGGCTATGCCTATGGGCAGAGTGACATCTGGGGAGGTAGACAGCTATCCAACAACATGTATGCAGGGTCTATGGGGAATTTTTGTCCAAGTGTATGTGCGTGGAAAGCCCCATGTTAAAAACTGGCCTTGTGCCACATCTTGCCTTGTGTGGAGGACTTGGTTAAAGCTTAGTGTTAAGTAAACTTGTATTGTTTCAGACAATTCTAACATGCATGCCATCCATATAAGTCTTGATCTGATGAAGCTATTTAAGAATGAGAAGGATGGTCCTCACTGAGACCTACATGCTTCACTCACTCAAAGCCATTTTAATCATTGATCTGAGAATGTGATTCTATACAGCTGACAGTTTACATATTTCTGCATGAGTTTGGCACCATGCATGCCATCCATATAAGTTGTGATCTGATGAAGCTATTTAAGAATGCAACACAAATTTTCAGGTTAATGTTTTGGTTTTGTAGCAATTTGTGGTATCGGATGAAACAGCCTTTGGTACAGCCTATTCTATATTCAATTTCCTTATCTCCTAAACTGAATTTGATATAACTGGTCTATATGTCAAGGTATTTGAAGTGTTTAGTATTTACTAATTCCATATCCTGAATTTTAAGGTTGCATTTAAGTCTAATTCAAAATTTGCCTTCCAGTTGAGAAGTGACAATGAAAAGATTCTTTTAAATTACTAAAAGTAAAATAAAAAGCAATGTGGGAGCAACCTGTTTGTAATGAGATATTCTGTTATGGTAACGAGTCATTTGTTTGGAATGGTGTCAAGTAATACCTTGTGTTACTACAACAATGGTATATTAGAAAGTGTTGAAATCAGGTTGCTATATCAGTATTATATATATATATTTTCAACGTATGAGGGTCAAGCAGCTCAGTTTCCAGGAAACCGACAGCCCAACACCGGCACATGAGATTTGATTATAGTGGTGAAGGCCTCGTGCAGGACCATCCACACTTTTTGAAGGGACGAATACAGAGACCTGGTGCACTGAATGCCACAAGGTTCCCAAACGACCCTCCGCAGGTTTTGAATTCAGAGTTGTCCTTCTCCTAGACCAGTTGCCTTCCAAGGCTATAGAACCCAGTCTGTCCTGCTATCTTACTCATAGCTGAAGGGAGAGGAAGAGGATTCATACCTTTCCCAAGGGTATTAGCACGTAAGTGAATGTAATGGTACAATTCTTTGTGATTCTGTATCACCAGAACTCGGCTCTGCGATTCCTCAATCCAAGCTGCTATCCATTACTCCACCTTTCTCCTATATATATATATATATATATATATATAAAGCTGAAGGATTAAAATGTTAGCAATCTGACCACAAGACCTGGGTTTGAATGAGTTGGCCTTGATAATATTGGCCCGTGGAGACAATCTCTGAATGCACCGAGACTGATTGACAAATATAATAATAAAAAAAAAAAAAAGTAATAATAACTATCTTTTATAGAAAAAAGAACTTCCATTTTCTTTCTGGTTCACTGAGTGGTAGCAGATAGATTTTTCCTTTTCAGAAATAAACTTGCCACAGCTCATCAAAACATTCTGAAGTTTTTTTTTTTGTTTTTTTTTTCAATTAGTAATCATATGTCTATAATAAACAAGGTAATCTGAGACCTGTAAGTGAAAATAGCCTAAAAACGACCAACATAAACAATCTGGTTGGAGAGACTCAGTTACAATACTAGAACTTTTTAGTTTTTATTAAATGTATAATCCATAAGAAAAGAGAAAAATATTTCTTCAAAAATAGTATAAAGAATTGTCTTTGATATACCAAATGAAAAGTCAATTTCAGAATTGCTCGAGTGGCTGGAACAAGTTAACCAACATCAAGGATACAAAGAAGTTTAAGTGTTCAAAAAAATTTGGATTGTCATTTGAGCATTTAGAGATTTACCTTTAACTTGTGTTTTATCTTTTTAGCTGAAGCATCATCCTGCAAAATTCCCTCCTTTTCTGAAATTGGAAGAAACAAATAAAAATAACAAAAATAAAAATAAAATGCATTCATTTAGTAAGACAAATATTTTTTTTTTAATATATGGAAAAATTAATCACAGTTTAAGAATGACTAACTTTATTTTTTTCACCAGGATCTATGAAAAACAAAACCAATAAATAGGAATGAAAAACATCTACCAGTACATTATCACAAATAATGAATACTACTTGTAATAAAGCATAAGTAGGACTGATGAGAAATAAAGAATAAGCCTCTAATAAAAAGCAAGATAAAAGAAATACTAGTCAAAAATGAATAATAAATTAATCACTAGCAATGCTTCATTTAAGTAATTTGAATAATGTTACTACTACTAGTGTATGTCAACAAAGACAGTAGCAAAATATGTAGCATACTACGAGTTTGGAAAAACTAAGGTATAAAATGTATACAATTAAATTTGAATTGTTGCAACCAGTTGGCCTTTGTAGCCTTTTACACTGGGCTTATGAGACTGGCCACTGAAAAGACGAAGCAACACAAAGACAACAATCAACAACATATTTTATTTAAACAGCTCACTAGATCCGTCTTGATCCCAGTATTCCCTAGTGGGACTGGAAATCCTTACTATCATAATCATCAACATCATAAATGTTGTTATAACATAGCGTATTTGGAAAGGCAGGCCCCAGTAGATAAATGCTAATCTTCAGTGACTTATTCTTTATTTCTGATCCACACTGCTAACTAAAAGTCGTAGTGTGATCTGATGTTTGCAATATAAACCAAGAAAAAAATAAAATGAAAAAAAAAAAAAAAGAAAAAGATGAATAAAAGTTCTTCATAATTGACAATGCTTCATCTTAGCAATTCAAATATTATATCTAGTACCATAAGTAATCAACCATATAAAATATCCAATCTCCTCATTGCTAAGAATTAAATTTCACCTGATATCTAATCATAAAAAACAAACTCTTATTCTGGTAATTCTAGATACAAATAGCCAAAAGATTTAACTAGAAACTGGAGACTTACCCAAGTCCTCTACAATATCACTGCCAGGATTGTGCACTCCACATCTTGTTTTTACAGTATAGTTTGCTGCAGTTCTAATCGCTGAAAGCAAAAAGAGGTGAATTCAATAAAAGTCTTCATAAAGTAATATGAATTAAAATAAATACAATGAGTTTATAGTGATATGAAAAATGAACAATTATGGTCAACGGACTAAGGTTTTCTGCAATGTCTTTCATTATAACCAATTTATACAAATACTAATTGAACCAATATAAATTTCTCAGTCATTAATAAGCAACACTATTCATTATCTTATACCAAAGCTCTTCTCTCTTTCTCTCTCATATCTTTACAATCTTCATTGCTCATATTTTTTTGTTAAACAAACACAGAACATATGAAAGTGAATATATACATTTTCCTTGTTGTTGAGAATTGACAACAAAAATAATAAACACTATTTATTAGATTGTTTATTGGAATTGTTGGCAAAACATCGCTAATCAATTCAAACTTTATAAAATAGTAAATAAAGATTCCCTTATAGTTGGTTCACATATTTTAATAATTTTGTAAATCTTTGTAAATTTATGAATAAAAAATTGTTTTCATATTTATTTCTTTATAAATTGGTAAATGATTAATATTGCATTGCATCAGTTTTTAGAATGTTGCAAATAAAAAGATTCTTATAAATAAACAATCTTAACAAATAAATTTTTCTTGCTTGGGGAGAAACGATTAAAAAAAAATAATAATAATAAAAAAAATCTCTCTCATGTGTCTGTGTTTTCACCTGCTTTTTTCATTTTTCTTTATCTTTTATCTCTTACCTTTCATCCTTAATACCTATTTCCTCCTCCTATTCCTCACTGTTACCAATTTGCTTTTGAACTTAATGTTATTATGTACATTTCTTGGTCAGAAAGCATAACTGATTTCAAACTGGAAGTGCTAGGGATTCTAAATCCTAATCAACACAGAAAAAGCCTAATAGTCATACATACAAACAAGCAAAATAATCATATAGATTATCAGCTCCAAAGTACATTCAGGTGTTTATTGTAATGGCAAAAGGATTTAATACAAAGACAAAACTTACGTTTCTCATAGTAATCATAAAGAATGGCAATGGCAGGTTTGGTTTCTTTCAAGCCAAGAGTTTGCAAAATGTTAAAAGAGAACTTTTCAGAAACCACAGTTAACTGAAAAAAAAAAAAAAAAAAAGTTTTCACATTCAATTAAAGTCATTAATTATAGAAAGAAAAAATTTCAAGAAGAGAAGAGAAACATTCTTACCTTGTCAAAATAAACATTAACTTGGGTTCCATCATTTTGTATTTCAGCTCGCCTAATTTGACCAGTTTTTACTCTAACAAGCTAAAATTGAAAGATAAGATACAAAAAGATAAATACTGCTGTGTCCTTAAAGAGGTTACAAACAGACAAAGGTGGTATTTGAGTGAAGGAACAGCAATACAGGCAATAGATGAAAGAAGAGAGGTTTATTGTAAAAGAGAATACACTACTGAAAGACAGGAAATTGGGTTGCAGGCTAGTAATTCCTGAAGCAAGCCCCAGGTATATCCTGTGCTCACTATATATAGCTACTGATATAGTCAGTCCACATAGGCTATAGGGAGTGTGGGACATTCCATTACAACAAATACAAAACTGAAGTTTTCAGGCTTTAACACTTTCAGCACCAAATTACTATTATGTAACATTGACCCTCTTGAAATTTACACCTATAGTGGTGCTGTAAGTATTGTTGGCTAGGGTCCCCATGAATATAATAAAGAAGGAAGGCTGTGTTCTTGTAAAACAACACCCCACATGAATAATGCACAACAAACACGAGAGAAAAATAATCAAGCTCAGTGAACATTAATAAAATATTGTATTAACAATGATATACAAATATCAATAGTATAAAGAAAGTTGCTTCCCTTCTTCCGTAATAAAAAGGGTAAGTTTAGCTAATTAATGTTGAGTACAATATTGAATGTTATTTAACTACAAAGTTCAATTGAAGTCTTAGCTAAATAAAGAATAGTTCCACAGTGTTTTATCAGTGTAGAAAAATGTAATGTTCATGAGAGATATCAATAGGAATTAATGATTACTCGATTGAGTGATAATTAAGAATTAAAATGTCAATATAGCGCCGTGCCTTATTTTCCAAGAATTGAACTGCTACTGGCAAACAGCGAGAGTCTTTATATAACAATGGATAGGCTCCAGTGAGCTTGGCACTAAAAATATAGAAAGATACTAAAATACACGATTGTTCAGGAAATGGATCAATCCATGATTTTGGAGAAAATTTCAAATTACCTGCGATGGCAAAATTGTCATATGATAAAACGAACCAATGATATTGAAGGAAATGGAGGTGTGGCACGAGTAAGTGATCCCCACACACTTTGTCTTCATTTTATCCTCTGCAATATCTGTTTTCCAGCAATGCTATTTAATCTCTAGAATAGGGATTTCAAATTCAAGGAGACAGATGAACCATTTCATACTGATAACATTTTGTTTATGTAGTTATCTCAATTCAAAATTCCACTTCCTGATCCTTTATCTGTCATAGAAACTTGAATCGGCCAATAGGAGAACCAGCAAAGGCATGAACAAGAACATTTAATCTACTTCTAAGGGCACTGATTTTGTCAGGCGAAACATGAGAATCCCATGAGGAAGAGGTGCAGCAAGCCAAAAGCAGGCTCACTGCCAGGGTATTACCAACAAGGACATCAACTTCCCAACCAAGGAGATATGGGCCCTGTGAATGGGCTGCCAACTACGGGATTTGCCAACTCCTTTAGGGATAGGTTCCCAACCAGGATGCCATAGACCCACAAAGCTAAATTAAATCAATTTGGTATTTTTGAGGGGTAAGAATTGTGGAAGTGAAATAGAGATGGAGCGAGAGAGGGGGAAGGTAGGCAATATTTTGCATGTATTCCAATTGTTTGTTATTAAGTACATCTTAAAAAAAAAAAAAAAAAAAAAAACAATATTTATGCATAATTATTTTTAAAAAACATTGATGGGCAATTTTTTTTTTTTAAACTTTTCACCCTAAGCAAAGTGATAATACTAGGATGCAAGGGGTTACTGAGTGTGAAAGAGAATGAGAAGACTAGTGAGGAGAAAGGACTATAAAGGACAGGATTCAGGAAGACAGAAGATGATGACTGATGTTGCATTTCAATTTTTGAAGATTGTATATGGCAGGGAAGTAAGAAATTGGAAGAGAGTTCTAAAAGGCGAGATGATGCGAGGCAAAAACATGCCCCACATCAGTTAATGCAGGACATGTCCTTCAGCAGCAAAATTGAGTTTTCTTCCCTTCTCTGGAGAGAAATTAGAACAGACCTCACTGACCTTGAAACTGATTGACCATCTATTTGCATTTGTTGAGTAGGCCTAGATCAATACTGCCATAGCCAAAGTATGGAAGGGGACAAGGGACATATTTATTTAACACTAAACTTTGAGAAAAATATTGTTCATGAAAAGGGTTCCTGCAGGCCACATGTGGCCCACATGTTCAAGACATCTGCTCTAGAGAATCCTCATTGTTTTATACTTGGCCAACACAAAGAAAGAAACATTCACACAGAAGGTGCTTAGTTTTTCAAAAGATTTTGTTTTCAGAACTACCATAGATATATAAGTTTCATTTAGCAGTGAAAGTATATGTTTGTGGAAAAATGAAATAAAACCAATAAATAAAATAATAAAGAATAAAAAAAAGTTAATTTTCCCATGATGCAAGTTATAAAGAAACCAGAAAGGGTTTCTGGTCACATGTGCTATTTTATGACCTCACTTCTGGAAAGGAAAGAATCTTTCTCTTTTCACTTTCTGATATAATTCGGTAGAGATTCAGCCATCCCAACTCATTTTGAGGTTGACTTGAGCTTGACCATTTCTACCTGTTCTTATCCTTACTTCCCATAAATTATTTCTCACCCAAGAAGGAAAATGGACATACTCAAGAAACATTTAACTTTGTTTCAATACAGTTAACATAAAAAGAATGAACATCTGTAGCAGAAAAACAAGTTTTTTGTGTACTTTGTCTATCTTTGTTTATATATTGAACATGCACCTTTCACCTAAAAAATACACACAAAACCCACAAGCTTGTTAACATCCACATGTTCTCTACCAATTTAGGAAAAATTCTTTATACAAACCACAAGGCTATTAAACAAAGATTACAAATATTTATTTTGATCAAGTTCTTTTTCTAATAGTGTGCTTCTTGAAAAACAATTTCCCCATTTAATCAATTGACATATCTTGATTCATATAAATGTAACCAAATGTTTATGATGACCACAAAAGTTATTCAGTCATGAATTTGGAGCTATCTTAATTTGGGAAAAAATGTTATCTTTGTGAAATTGAAAACTCTTTCCATCCTGTTCAGTGAGTTCATATTTTACAGCATCTACTAAAGGACAATAAAGTGTATGATTTACCTCGTGCACAGATTCAGTGTGAGCAATCCACCCAGTAGGTAACTTAATCTCAGCCACTGCCATATTGGTAGATCCTTCAACATCATTGTGTCTGGAAATACAAAATATAACAACAATAACAGCAGTAAAAAAAAAACAAAAAAACAAAAAAAAAAAAAAAAAAAACAAAAAACAAAAACCAAACAAATCAGTAACATCAACTAAATGATGTCATTTCAAAAAGGAAGTTAGAATATATGAATTGTGGTATGTTATTAGCATGGGAAATGGAAATGACAAGCAGAGTTCAAATTCCAGTAAAGGCTGTTGCATTTACTTTGTGCAAATGATGGGAAAAGATTTGAGTCTATTACAGTTGGCTCTCATAGCTCAATTGATAGAGTAACTGATGCAATAAAATTGACTCCCTGTAGAAAAAAGGATGCAAATTTGAGTCTTATCAAAAGACTATTTCCAATCCATACTATTTTATCAACAGCTACAGTATGCTGGTCTAAGTAGTTTCAATAGAAAAAACAACTGAAAATTGATGTTGCATTATTTTGTTGATTTACTCATATAGATAAAATAAATAAGAGAATCACTTACCCAGCTTTAACAACAAGTCTGGCCCTGTCACATGCATTAAGATACTCAGGAATGATGGTCATATGAAGAGGAGCTGTTTTTGCATCAACCTCATACATGTTGTATTTTACATTCATCTATCAAATAAGAACAGGTCATTAGAATAATTACATAGAGGAGGGGAGACGATATTCATTTTATTTATTTATTTATTTTTTTTTTTTTTAGAAAAGTGTGATTAAGGATTTATAAGTATTTAAGAGATTACAAAATAGTCCTCTGTAAGTCTACAACTATTATGAGATCTATAATTATATAGATTTGAAAAATATGTGAACTAACAATAATGTAGTAATTTAATCATTTGAGATATTTACTAAATTTTGTAGAATAATTGATCATTGTAAAGTGTAATTAACAAAATTCTCAAAAAACAGTAAGGGCAAAAAAGAATTAAACATATTTCAAGAATTGGAAGATATGTGTTCAAAAGCACTATTCAGGCTTTGTTTGATCAGGAGGTACTACGTGGGCGAGTTGGTCTAAGGCATATCAGATCTAATGACAGTTTCCTCTAGGGGACACAGGTTCAAATCCTGCTAGAGGATGCATATCTTTTTGACAATATTTCTCAAATATTCAGACTAGGAGATGTAAATACACTGTTTAATAAATAAATAAATAAAAATAGATCTACTCAAATATGAGCATTCATTTTTGAATCTGCTACTTTATTTTATTTTTTCTCACGGGTATTGAGCAATTTTTAATACTTCCGTTTCCTGGTCTGATTCAACTCTCACCATATATATATATATATATATATAATAAGCAGTATGCATAATACCTTACATTAATTGCACAAGCCAGAGTTTCAGGTCAAAGCAATTTTCAAGTGCTGGAATTATATTATTTTTATCTCTATTTGTATGCTGGGTCAACGCCACACAAATAGAAATAAAAATAAATATAATTCCAGCACTTGAAAACTGCTTCGGCATGAAACTCCAAGTTGTGCAATTAATGTAAGACATTATCCATACTGCTTATTATATATATATATATAAAAAAATAATGCTCAGAGTTGAATCAGACCAGCTCTGTTACTTTACATTGAGTACTGTTTTTTCTTACACTATGGAGTATTTATATGTATTTGTATACTAACACTTGCTTGTATACCTATGTATATTTACCCATTTGTGTGTGTGTGTGTGTGTGTGTGTATATATATAATGCAAGTTCAAAGCAAAACAACAGTAATAAAGCAAAAAGTTTAAGTAGTTATAGAATTCTGGAACTTTAAGGCAAGAAGAAAAATGTAACCTGGAGATTGAGAATTGTTCATTTTTATTGGTTAAGAATAAATCCCAGCATTTGTCATTAAATTTGGGGAGGGATTGTTCTTCACAGTCATTCCTAGAATATTGTAATCAACAAATGTATTTTCTGAGAAAACAAATTCAATTTTTTATTTTCTAATGCAGAATTTAGTTAAGTCTTTTTTTTTTTTTTTTTTTTTTAAGATTAGGAGTGTTATGTCCTGTACTTTCAAGTATAGTCCCAGAGTTACAAGTTGATATTGAAGACAAAAAAGAGATAATACAAAAAAGTGAAAATACTGATTAATTTTGTGAAAATTCACAAATCTATGAACATTGAAGATACAATGTGACTTAATGATTATCAGCATAAAGCAAATCAGTGAACCAAGTTCAAATCCTAAGTGAAGTAGCTTGTATTCAAGTTTGCACCCATACCCCTGAGAAAAAAAATAAACACAAATTTCTTTCTTTCTGTAGTAAGCCATTATCAGAAATGCTAATAAAAGGTCTCAACACTGTTATGCTACAATAATTATCAGAGGAAAGAGTCCAATCAGGTTAAGGGATTTTTTCCCTGTTAATGACACCATTGTAACCCAGTACTATTTGTCATAAGATAATTAGGGCACTGACAAGTAATTCTTCTTTGCCATCTGAGATTTTCATGAAGAAATGCCCAGCATCTGAACTAAGAAATTAGGCAACAACTATTTAAAGATACTTCCTTAGATACAGTCTTTGGTAGCCTTCACTCAGTGGCAAGGCATTTCTTTACAGAATTCATATTAGCAACAGAAAATTAATCTGTCCTTATTCAGAGTTTCACAGATATGGTATCCACTCATCAAGGGCCTTGATATAAAATAAACTTATTTACAGAAATCATGTTACTTAATTTTCTATAAAAAGACAATTTTGAGGTAAAATTATTTTAAATTTGATCTTTCTTAAAAGACATTATTGTATGATGTAATCAAATTTTAAACTGGTTATGTGCCTTAAATAATTTTTATAAAATTAAAGTATTTCTATTATAAATAGGAATGTGTGTAAAAAGTTTTAAATAAATTGTTAATACAGTGAAGATTTCTATTTATAGTTAACTGGTTATTACATATATTTGATGGCTAATTATTTTCATCATATTACTGTAACATTTAAGATGAGGGGTTGGATTTATTTAAATATAATTCCAAATTAAAAAAGATATATATATATATATATATATATATATATATATATATATATATATATATATATATATATATACACACACACAAACAAAGACACTGCAAATGCTAATTATCAATAAACTTTATTATTATTAACAATGTATCATCACAAGTATATCTTGGTTAACAGAAGAATGCAAATAGGTCAAGTATTCTTTGCTTATTTCTTTGTTTTTCTTAAAACTCATTAAAATGATTTAGTAATTAACAGTTAAGAAATTCGAAGTTATATTTTTTGAACAGATTTTTTTTGTTAATTTATACTTAATTAAAAATTATTTGGTTACTAGTGATCTGTCAGACTGGAAATAGTTTCATTCTCTATGTTAGAGTAGTTTAACAGTATTGTGCTGACAAAAATTGTGCTATAATGTGCTGTTTTTTTTTTTTAACTGAACAAATACAGAAACATATAGAAATCAGATTATAATACATATGGTTTGTTAACAGATCAGGCCTGGAAAATCTAACACTTATAGGAGATACAGACAACAACAAAAAAAAGATATGCTGAAACAGGAAATAATCCACTTAATAAGTTTGTGTTAATGAATGACAGAATAGGGACAAAGAGGGATGGTAAAGGGCAAAAAATTAGAGTAAAAAAAACAGGATGTTATGGAGAGCCATAATTACACATATCCATAAGAGAATTGATGCATAAAAGAATTATTGTTGTTGGTATGAATTTAGTCATTAAATTCAATTTAGAATTAGAATTTAGTCACTATTATATGCAGTCTTTGTGTTTTATAGAGTTTCATTTTTACTTACTTGCATCAAAGCACATCCAACTCCTTTAGTTGTTACATCAACTTCATTTGGCAGCATCTTGATATCAGCAGTCTGTAAGGTCAAGCTATTCATATCGTTGACAGCAAATTTGGCCATCAACTGTTTTCCAGAAACTTTAATGTTCAGATCAAGTCCATCCTTGTAAATATAGCCTGCATATTTGGATAGAGCTTGAAGAGCAAGCACAGTATCCTTTAAACAAAGATAAAATCATAATACAATTGAAATAGTTAAATATTATGGGGAAATATTAAGATATATCTTGGATTATAAAGTAAACTTCTCTCATCTCAATAACTTTGAAAACATAATTAGATTATTATTTACACTATATACATTTGGACTATTGTCCTCATTTTTGCTGTTATTAATGTTTCGGCCACTGTGCCCTAAGGCCTTCATCAGGCATATGTCAATCTATGTAACCTACATGGAATTCTAAACTGAACCCTTCAACCTACAAAGGTAGACTGTTCTTGTTCCACTACTCATATCTAGAGATATATTATTTAATTCTTATTTTTAGTACAGCTCAGTTATTACACACTACCCGGACCAGGGATTGAACTCACAATTACTATGTCTATAAATTCATGAACCAAGCACTTTAATCCACTAGACTCTTGTCAGATTATTCAAGATTTTTAAGATCACTGCAATATACCAAGTGGCTGTATTTGCCAACCTCTCCACAAGGATATGACACAAGATTGTTTGTAATGTGTGTGTGTGTGTGTGTGTGTTGGGGGGTGGGGGGGGGGGTGTAGGCATATACATATATATGGGTCAAGAACAAAAATTGCCCAGTCCTCATAACTAAAGTTGGCATTGTTATTCACCATCCTTCCTACTTTAATCCAATAAAGAATATGTTGCCACAGTGCTGGAATCCCTGGGACCAGGTCGCCTTCAAAATTTTAAGAATAAGGAATAGATACCACATTTTGATCCCAGTTCAAGGTCCAGGTAAAAGTCGGATTGGCTCCATGCCAAGTGGTACACAGTAAGCGGTTTCTTTAATAAGAATTTTTGTCTAGTGTTTATCACTGTCTACATTCATATTCATCTATTCAATATGCTGTAGTGCAATGTTTATCAACACAGAAAACAGAATTGGTAAATAATGACATAATACTCTTGTCAAAGGCATGAATCCACTTCTTTCTGTGTTGTCTCATCATCCAATATCGTTACTAAATTTCTTGCTAATGGACTGTTATGATAACTGAGAGAGAAAAGAGCAACATTTGGGAAAAATCATTCTCCCATAATTACTTTACCTGCCCAAGTAACAGTAGCTGGAAGTTACTACTCCAAAATCAGCTTTGATAAGGACCAAAAAGGAAAAAGACTTTTATAAAAATTTCATTAGAATCTATATGTCATCCAAATGAATTCACAAGTCGGAAGCTAAATCTTAATTATACTCTAACATCAAAATATAAGTAACACTTTATAATTTCATATGTTTACAGGTTTCAATTATAGATATTTATGCTACTAATTGTGAAGTAGAGATTTTGCAAATGCATAAGGGATCCTTATAGTTCACTGAAATCAAACATCTTTTATATAGATGAACAGCTACTAAAAGATTCAATGTCAAGTTATGACATAGATCAGATTGGCATCAATGTATCTAAGATTTTCTATGTACTTTATTTACCAGTGTTGGGGATGATCAAGTTTAAAAAACATATCCTAATTTTGGATTTACAAAATCCCCCACCCCCTGCTTAAAAAAAAACAACAACAACAAAAACAGGACAGACACATGGCTCAGTGAATAAAAGCATTGGTTGAGTGATCCAAAAAGTGAATTGACCTAAACAGTTGTGAGTTCAATACCTGGTCACAGCAGAAAGAACAAAAACTTGGAGAGTTGAGTTACTAAAGGAAATTAATTGAAACTGTGATATCCAAAAAGGTATGACATATGGAATTAGAACCTCCATGGACTAAATAAAGGGTTTGGTTTGAAATTTCAATGTATATCACCTAAAGAAGGCCAGAGCGTACAACAGCTGAAATATTTTGAATATGGCAATAAACATGAGGGCAACAGTTCAAATGATGTAAATAGTGTAAATAATTTTTTTCACTTGCATGATCAAATTAATCATGATTAACTTTTAAGCCAGGAAATCAATCTAGTTACATCAACTGACTTCTTTTATCAAAATATTTTTCAATTTCATTCTAAAATAGAGAAGTAGAAAAACAAAAGAAAAATCCTTTGTATGTGCAGTAAAACATAAGGTAAATAAATAAAATAAAATTAATAAAAAAAATACCTGAGTAGAAGCAAACCCTCCATAAGCATTTCTTTGTTTTGTGAGCCATTGAATGATAGGAAGGCTTTTACTGATAGCCTTGCTTGCATCTTCAGTAAGCATAGCAAGTAGAACATATGATGTAATTTCAACCTCAGCAGAAGGTGCCTGGTTATATTTTAGCCAACTTTCTTTCTCCTCTTTTGGCTCAATCCTCTTATTGTCTCGAGTCCAATACATCAAGTCATCTAGAAAGAATTAACAGGTGGTTAGTTACAGTTTAGAAATAATAACATTTACATAGTATCATTTGAAACAATAGTTGATATTTATCATTAATATATATATATATATATATATATATATATATATATATATATATATATTAGTTGTAGCCTCTGTCTGTCTGTTACTGAACTCCTCTTAGGGTTTTAGAGATAGACCCTCATAACTATATATATTCTGAAACTACACTACCCAGGGTACTATATAAGTATATTTCATTTTGATCAAAGGGGGTTCCCGGCCTTCCCCCACCTTTTCTCTTTAATAGAAATTAAATCTAAATTTGAACAAGGGAATGACTCCTATCCAAAAAATAGGAGAAAGCCAAAAGATGGAGGTCACATTGGCAAGATCATTGAGTAATACTGAAATGCATCATCTTTCTACAAAAATTATAACAATAATTTAAAATCAATCATCATTTTCTTACAAAAGAAATGTGTGACACACAGCAAGGTACGGGTAATTCGGCTAGTCTTTAATTATTTTATTAAAAATTCTTTTTTATCCTCTGATTGGTAATGGTAATATTAGCTGTTTCCTTAAAAGAAAACATTTGTCATTCATTGACTGACCAGTCAGTACTGCTGTTGGTTAGAATTTAGAAAACTTTTCTCTTAAAATAATTTTTCAGGGAAATAGGTTTCTCAAGTCTATTAGCTGTTAATGTTCTTTCCAGTATTGATGGGAGGTTTCCTTCCTTGTTTTTTGTTTGAGGTAGTGTGGAACGTTAGTATCTTGATTATGTCATTATTCTCTCTTTTCGAGTCACAACTGCTATTCATTTTAGTTGTTGCTGTTGTTGAAAGTCCTCAAATGATGTGGTTTCTGTTATTTGGTATAGTTATTTGTGATTCTCTAATGCCAGTCCACAAGGTTCAAAGGATAGTCCTCACTGAAGCCTATGTTTCACTAGGCTGAAAAACATTTTTAATCATTGATCTGAGAAAGAAGTCATATACAGCAGACAGTTTTGATATTTCTGATCAAGTTTGGTAGTATGCATGGCATTCATATGAAAGTCTTGATAATGTAAGACTATTTAAAAACATGACTGGTTTTTAGGTTAATGTTTTGGTTTTGTAGCAGTTTGCAGCATTGGGATTAGCTTAACTTTTATGCAATGTTGTATGATAGACTTCTGTAAATGACTCAGTCATTTACTTAAAAGAAACAGAGCTCCTGTTACCAGACTTTCACCATAGCTGCTGTGTGAAAAATTTGTTCATCCCATGTGAGTCTTAGTAGTTATTATTGGTCCTACAAATGTGGAATCCTCTCTTATGAAATATTGTACAATAATGGAAATTAATTTTCAACTGCCAATCAAAGTTTTGGTCAAAATGGGTTTAGCAGATTTTGTTTTCAAACTTTATCTCTTGTTTATTAACAGGAGCTACTTATCACTTTTTTCCTTATTTTGAGCTTCAGAAGAAAACAGATTAATATCATTTATAAACATCTAAGATATATGGGCACACCTCAAAAACACTTGATGATCAGAGATTGGCAGCAGACCTCTCTTCCAATCTAACACTAAATTCTCAGTGGGGGAAAAACTGGCTGGTTATATTCAGTGCCTCAAAAATCAAACTGGTTACATTCCATCATTGCCAATCAAATACTGAACAACCACCAGTCACGATAACTAGATGAAGAGGCTCTATGCCTTGAGAGAATATTGGGCCTTAAACTCACATCTGACCTAAAATGGGACTCATGTACAATCCATCACTAAAGATGCAGGTAAAATGATTAGCTCCCTGTACCACTCCAGTAAGTACCTGACTCCTCATGCTATCCTCTCCCTTTATAAAAGCCAGATCAAGCTGAAAATGGAGCACTGTTGTCATATTTGGGTGGAAGCTTCCCAGTCCTCACTATACATTCTTCTCATAAAGACAAATAAATAAATGACTTCTAAAACTAATTTCCAAACATGGAGCATACATTTCACATTATTGTTTCTTTAACTTTGTTATCATTACATTGACATTTTTAATTTTCTTTTTAAAGCATTAATTTTAATTTTGTAAGTTTTGTGTATGTTCTACACTTATTTTTGTAAACTGTAAAATTAGAAAAAGTAAAAGTTGCTAATAATGTGAGATGCAACTTATGAAATAATGATCACAGAATAAAACAATTTACCTTGTTCCACACAATCATGAAATAACTGTCACAGAATCACAGAGTTCAAAAGTGTCTCCAAGTTCTTGTTGGAGAAGAATTATTTTCCACACTCCAATCTTTCTCTCACAGGCAGGATGTGGTGAGTCTCTCACTGCTCTATCACTACTAACATGAGAAATGCTTGGATGAACTACATTCCTTGGTTCCACCAGGTCTAACCTTCACAGCAAGGACCTACAATGCCACTTACAAAGTAGCAAACCAACCACATTCCCCCCGTATTCCATCGGCAAGAAGTAAGGTCCACTCAAACAGCTTCTTCCCATGAACCACTGCTCTGTGGAACAGACTCCCAAGATTATGTTTTCCTGATCACTACAATCTTAACTTGTTTAAGTTAGAGTTAACCGTTATCTTCTCCTCCTATCCATATAAACTATCCCTTAACATAACCCTCTACCTCAAGTGCCCCCCCACCCCGGACCTTGTACAGAGTAGACCCTACTGTATAAAAAAAAGAAGAAATATAGCAAATTTGAGCTTTGTTAGTTAACATTAACTTTCATTATCCGCTAAATGCAGTCAAGCCTATATATATGCTGCTGTTAAGCAGTATAAATTATTAATTTTTATATGGGCTACTAAATCAAAATATATTTGTCATTGGAAATTATACAATGTCAATTTTTACCATGTTCAATGGCTCGGCTCATGAGCTTCTCTCTGACAGCTGTACGTTTCTCACTTTCAACACCATAAAGAGCAAAGGCATAATTCATCAAGGCTAGAGTATAGGTGTCGTCTACATCAGAATTGGTAAGACATTTCATAGCATCTTTGATTACATTCTGCAATTTACAAATAAACAATAATTCAATATTTTCCAGATTAAATAGAAAAAGAAGCAAAGAAAATGAGAATTTCATTTAGATTATGAAGCAGTTAAAAAACAAGAAAAAAAATCACATCATTTCAAATATAATATTTTAATTAAGAGTGAAAGATTATATCTATCACTAGCAGTAGAGCCCAGCATTGCTCGGGGATGTAACAGTAAGAGATAGATCAAGTATTGACCATCATAAAGACTGAAAAATAAAATTGACAAAGATTATTCCTTAAGGTTGACGGACACGCATGTCTTAGTTTTTTTTGTTTTTTTTTACGAATTGGTCAAACCTAAACAAAAACATTGTTTTCAATCATTATGAGTCTACTGATTGAATAGAATTTTATTATAAACAATTGTCTTGTAAATGGAATTTTTAATGCATTCTGAATGTAAAAATAAAGAAAAAAGTGTGCAAGACAATAAGAAACACTACCTGCCAAAAAAAAAAAGTGAAATTTTGTTGAAATCGGTTGAAAAATGTAGGAAATCCGATCCCATATATAAACGAACACACATCCACACAAACAACCTGGGTTTTATAAGTATAACTCAATATGAGTTGTCCTCCTTTCATTCTCGACAGCGATGCCTCTTAATCGTGTTTTCAAATTGATTTTGTGAAAAAACAATTGTGTTTTTCCAAGGTAATTTTATGTAGTCCTGTGAAGTTTTGTTGAAATCGGTTGAAAAATGTAGGAAATCCGATCCAATGTATAAACATACAGACAGACACACACACACCCTGGGTTTTATAATAAGTATGATTACTAACATAGAACAAGTCAAAAACAATAAGTATGTATGCACTGCATATATACTGTATCAGTGTTGTTCTTAGGCTACTGTCTAGAATCAGACTGTAGCATTTGTGTGCTTTACGAAAAGTATCACTCTCTCTTTCTATATATATATATATATATATATATATATATATATATATATATATATATATATATATATATTATAAATTAACTGATTTAAAATATGTTTTTTTTCGCTACACAGTAATAACCATGTTTCAAAAATGGAAGCTAAAAAGCTTTGAATTTAATCTTGTAATTAAATTAAAAACATTAGTTCCATTTCATCCTCAAACGAATTTACTGTTCTATCTTTTCATTTATATATACATGTGTGTGTGTGTATTTAGGCAGTAAATGTTATTAAAGACAGATGTTTTATGTTGATTAATTTTATTGATAGACTTTTCACACACTCACACATAACACTACCCTTTGCCCATGTCATTACACTCACTAGTTCTATGAAACTAACCATTTGTTTATCTACCCTGAAGATGACTTAAGAAAGTCGAAAGCTGGGACCATATTTCTTCCAAAATGGCAATTTCTGGTGGAATTTTTCCCTTATCTGAGAAGGATTATTCATAATTTGAAAAAAGTTGATCAATAAAATTGAGACAAAATGTCTGTTGTCTTTAATAACACACACACACATATATATATATATATATATATATATATATATATATATATATATATATATATATATTTTGGGGAAATGCTCAATATCAAAGTGGGAGCATTTGTAGAGACTGTATGGCCATTAAGAATGAATATTGCATAGTGACTGCCAGTTTCTAACCTCAAGCTATATTTTGACCAGCTCTTGTGGCACAAAGACTAACAGTTACTATGCATTATAGGAATCAACAGTGTGTGTGCATGCACATAAAAATTCAGATATAAATAAAAATATATTTGTAAAAAGACAACATAAATAAAAGGCAAAAGGAAAATTATTTTTTCCCAACAGGTTTCCTCCTCTGATGGACTTTACCAAAGCAAATATAAGGATTTTATTTTGCAACACGTATTTATAAACAGAAGTAAAAAAAAAAAAAATATCGTTAGGCTTTCAGAATTTTAAAATATGCTCAAAGGAAAACTGGAAAATAGACACTATATAATAAAAGCAATACATATAATAAAGGCAATAAATATAATAAAAGCAATATATATGTTTATGCGAAAAAAAAATAGTAAATATAAATAAAATACAAGCCTTGTTTGAGATATTAATTTCCAAAAATGAAATGAGGACATAGGCAGTCAGAGCAACATCTTCATTTCCTCCATCAAGACCTCCTTTAATATGTTTGCTCCAGACATGACCAAATTCATGGAAGCAGTCATTTTCTCTCAAATTCAGCACAAACCAATTTATGATGTTTGTCATGATATTGCTGTCAATGAAAATATATTGATCGGCTTTGGCAAAAGACCTCAATACAAAAGCTGTGAGCCAAGTGCTTCCAACCTCATCAGCTTCCCCAAAAGCACTGAATGTACTATCCTTGTGCTGATACTGCAGCTGCCGTTGATAGCCTGAAATAATAATAATAAATGAAAATAGCAATTATAAGAGAGAAAGACAAGAGGCAATTATAATAGATTTTTTTATTTAATCATTTCACCCCAAGCAAGATGATAAAGTCAGTAAGACACAAGGAGATTACTGAGTGGGAGAGAATATGAAAAAAAAGAAAACATTATCAAGGAAAGAGAACAATAAAAGAACAGGAATTAAGAAGATAACAATTGACATTGCATTTAAATTTTTGAAGATCAAAGTTGATTGATCCAAGAAACTGTTAGCATAGAACTTATAATTACATCTAGAAATTTCAGCTGTAAAATGATGAGACCGAGCTGCCAATCTAGTACTGCATTTAAATTTGTAAAGTGAAGGTACCAAAGAGGAAAGCTCATTAGAACAATTACCGTGAAAATATTTATAGCAAAAAAAAAAAAAAAAAAAAAACAGGGAAGCTATGTTACGGTGGTGAGAAAATGACTGAAGCCGAGATGCCATGTGAGGACCAATAACATTGCAGACTTATTTTTTGATTTTATTAAAAATCTTTAAATAGATAGCAGAAGCACCGGTGACAACAATTATATCATTAGGAATCGTGCAAGAGTGTTGGGTTCAGCTATACAGACATACGGTCACAAATCAGTAAGGATAAAGAATAAGAAAATCAATTTAATTCAGAACTCTGACAGAGACAAATTGCATAATTTAACCCAGTAGATTTGCCTTATTAGATGGCATCTAAAACTATAGGGCCTATTGAGAGAGAGAGAGAGAGAGAGAGAGAGAGAGAGAGAGAATTAATGGATAGAGGCTCAGATTGAGGAATCGGAGAGCTGAGTTTGAATTTCAGTCAAATCCATTACATACCCTTATGTGCTAATACCCTTGGGAAAGGTATGAATCCTCTTCGTCTCCCCCCAGCTATGGATAAAAAAGCAGTACAGACCAGGTTCTATAGTCTTGGATGGCAACTAGTCTACCACAGAAAGAAATGGCAACCTAGTGTGGGAAAAAAATCTGCCTTGCCAGTCATGTATCGAAAGATATATGATCACCTAAGCATGTATCATGCAAGGCACATAACTGACTGAATGCCTACCTTAATTTTGCATATATGACCAAGTTTCTTTTCTTTACTATAAATTCCTATATTTAATCATTTTATAGTTCTTAAGATTCTTTAGTCATATATGCAAAAACTGAGGTATACACTCATATATGCTAACACAATAAATTTTTATTTATTTTTATGATATACAGATTGCATAATTTAACCGTATACAAGACCCCAGAAACTATTTAACCTCTTTCCCACCAATTATTTTCAGACAAATTTTTTTTTATTTATTATACAGGATGTAAGCATTCAAAACCACAATATCCATCAGATCGAAGAAGTCTTTCTTGATTGCTTCAGGAAGAAATTGAACTAGTTTCAAGCTTAGAAGGACAAAAAAAAAAAAAAAAAAAAAAAAAAAAATGGTTGACGTATAAACACATCTGTAGCTAGTTACTGAATGTTATGTTTTGGACATGTTTATTTGTCCGTGTCTGAAAAAGACACTTTCGGTAAAAAATATATATATATATATATATATATATATATATATATATATATATTTTTGTGTATTTAGGCAGCATCTTTTCATTCATACACTATATATACAACTATGGAATCTCTACAAATATCCTTAAATGTCTGTAGTAGGTGACAGAGGCCATTGGTTTATGCCAACGGATTTCCATAATTCATACTTCTCCAATTCACTCTCGCGTGGTCATGTGCGACGTCATGAGATGCGGTGCGATTTTCGCTTCTAGCATCTTATATGCACGTGTTTATCGTTGCTTAGAGATCATCTATGTAAACATTCACGGACTGTCATCACCGTCTTGTCCGTATATTGCTTACTATGGTGTAATTGACATCTTTGATAATGGTTTATGTAAGCCGAAAGCTTAGATTGTATTAATATGGATCAATTTTGTGAATTTCTTTCTTCGTTCAATTATAATGTTATTAAACTTATTAGATGTTATGAAAAGAGTTTACATGAAATAAATAGACAACACTTGTCTATATTATTTAATGAAACGTGTATGAATATATATGTCTACACCAAGAAAAGGGTTAAACAGTGAATATTATAAAATAAAATAATCTATTTTAGTGTATACTTCAATTTTGCATATATGGTCAAAGAATATTTTCAGAGCTTTTTTTTTTTTTTAACAAGTAGATCTTAAGTGCTATGAAATGCAGTAATTTATAGTGAAGAAATAAAAGAAATTGCAATGAAGTAGTGTATGCGAATGTCCTGGTTATTCAGACTAATGAGACTAAATGAAGAATAAAACAATTGACAAATATCAAAACCTTACAAGCAAATAGTAAAAGGCATGCAACATGAGAATACTTATAATCACTAATGCATTTGAAACAGCACCAACGATCTTTGAAAAAAAGTTGGAAGAATTAGAAATCTGAGTAAGTAATACAGACCTGGGCACAACTAAAACCTGCAAGAACTCTGAAGATCAAGGAGAACCAGGCATCCCTAGTGTACAACTACAAATACCTAAACAATAATAACGAAGAATACTGGGGAGAGTGGTGGTATTTTGAAGAAACTTAGAGTCACTCAATCTCCAGTAATGTCTAGGTTATACCCATGGTGTAAAAATGCAAATAATATCTGGCTTCTAGTCTGGATAAGAATATATGTTTGAATTTCAAATTCTTAAGGATTCTTACTGTTTTTTATTCTTCAAGTTATCCTAGGGAAAAAGTAAAATTCTTTAAGACAGAAATTTAAATGGATCATCCTATTCAAACCAACAAAACAAATCTGAACATCAAAAACATCTATGAAACACAGTTGCTATTCCCTGTGCCCTTTCTATAACTACTTTCATGGTAATTGTTCTGATGAACTTTCCTCTATGGTAACTAATTTAAGCACCACGGCTGTTTAAAACACTTATTTTTCTCATATAGGAAAATCTAACACGGCGCATAAACGAAATATTCAACGAAAAATCGCATTCGTCAGTAACACCTCATAGAATGTAAAGTTCTTCAAGCAAACCTGTGCCAAACTGTTTTGCTGAATACTTGAGGACTTGGCTGTCCGAAAATGACAACATCAAGATGAAATAATGGAAACTGACTGTGAAAAACACTATTATGCGCAACAAGTTTTCGATCAATCAGTAAACTTCTGGACCTTTTCGGATGACATTATAGGATCCAGATGGCTATTGTTTGCACATGGAATTATTCACTGGTAATTAAAAATCCCCTTTTTTTTGTGAAAAAATATTTATTTTCACTTCAAAGTAATGTCATTCAAACTTCATCCCTTTCTCCTTAATTTGGCATGAACATCATTGAATAAAAGGAATGGCTAAATGGCCCAGCGATAGGAAATATGAAAGACATGCGGCGAAAAAAAAACAATGTTGTCTGCTAAGTGTTGTTGTCATCACCTGGGTCATGGGGTGTTAAAAACAAAACAAAACAAAACACATCAAGCCATTGTTCAACACAGGTTTGAAAGAAAAAAAAAACAAAAAAAAAAAAACAGAAAAAACAATTATATCAAGCCCTACCAATGTTGACCCCTTTTTTTTTTTTACTCTTTGCTCTTATCTAGGAGTGGTAGATTTTATTACAAGCTGACAATAACTTGTTCCAAACATTTATTGCTGGCTGACCTTTGACCCAGACACGTCAAAGTCAATTTGGCTTAATTTTACTTTTGGTTTCTGGCGGTCAGGAATTGCAGATAAATCTTTCACCTTTTACTAAAGATTTCAATATTTTACCCCTATAAAAGTATGAAAATCCATTTTTTCAGAGAAAATAAGTTGTGACAAAATGACTTTTGCCATTTTTGTGATGATTTTTACTTGGGGTAGAAAATTTTTACCATAGCAAACCTGCATTGACTTTATTTAAGTTCAGTGGGGCAATAGGAAACCTCAAACAGCTGTGGCACAGTAGTAGACTGGTAGTAAGATCTCATCATTTTACAGTTGAAATGGCTAGATGTAACCTCAATTTTATGCTAAGAGTTTTTCTTTTCTCACACTTCTCACTTGTGGAACTCTTTTCCAGATTCCTTAATAATGTTTTTTTCTTATATTTTTTCACACTTTCACACTCAGTACACCTCCTGTGTGTTAGTGGCTCTGTTGCCTGGCTTGGAGTGGTAAGATTAAAAAAAAAAATTCCAACAGACTATGGTATGAAACTGAAAAACTGAATAAACACTAGGACTTTACCAGAGTATTGAAAAACATTGTGGAATATGAAGGTGACAGTAATATCTATAATTATTGGTATACTTTGAGTAACCCTGCAAAGCTTTGTAAAGAGACTGGTAGAACTAAAAAAAAAAAAAAAAAAAATGAAAATATTCAGATAACAACATAAGTGAAATTGGAGGGAATACTGAAGAATGCTAAAATATTAGAGATTTGTTGTCACTTGATCTCTAAGAGAAGCCACCAGTTATTATTGGTATGAAAAGTCAATTTAGACAATTTCATTATGGGTAGCTAAATGACAAACTGAAAAAATGAACAATATTTTATCAATGGAAGCATAGGTATGCTAAAGGTGAAAAATAAAACACCAGTTAAAATTCTACCTTGAAAGATGCTGAAGATACAAAGATGTTTAACTTTAAATCAAACATTTTTGATGTGTCTAGATGCATAAACTTGCCGACCTCATTTCGCTTCCTTCTGCTTTTGTTTTATCACAATTGCTTTTAAATATCCTACATTGTAATAACAGTAGTTTTTCTAGGAAAAGTGATGTTACATGATAGTGGATGTAAATTTAATGTGGAGGTCGCTGGAATTAATGCATTATTGAAACTGGCAAGAATATGGAAGATTGTGATAGAATACTGAAGAGACTCACTTTTACTTAATTCCCAGTGAATTATATTAGATTCTAATGGACTTAAAATCTATATAACAAAACATATTCAGAAAGTTGCATAATTTTGAATAACATTTTAATGAACACAATTTTGCTATTGTCGAATTCCTTACCCAAATCGTAGACTTTCCTACTCGTTTCCCTATCAAAACTGATCAACAGGCTTTTATTTCTCACCTCCTGCCCTAGCTCTTGACGAGCTTTGCAGCCCTTCCCTCTTGGTAACTCGGACCACTCTGTGGTAGCTATTGATATTTCATTACAATCATCCGTTAAACAGGAACCCCCTACCCATAAGACCTCTTTCTGTTACCAGGATGATGTTTGGGACTCACTGATTTTCTTCATGATAGCCTATGGACTGATATTTTCAACCTCTCAATTGAAAATTGCCCCACTAAGGTTTCTTCTTGGGTCAAAGCTGGTATGGATGCTTTCATCCCTTTTCATATGAAACTTCAATCCTCTCCATGGTTCACACCAGCATGCTCAAACACTATAACACAAAGGAACCACTACTTTTGGCTATACCCACTAGCCATCATCTGGTGTACATTTTTTGGCTGATATGAGATAACTATTGATTATTGTGCTATTTTGTCCTTGTGATGCCAGTTATTAATCATTCCCACTGAACCAGTATTTCGCTACCTGATCCAGAGCTTGAACTCATGATGATAGGAACACATGTTTAACCAACTTCAATATTCACTATGAAGGATATCAGTGGTGCATTTTTGGAGCCTTTATATTCAATAAGTGATGATTTTTGCATTTGGTTATCATGGCCGATACATACCTCTTTCCAATAATTTTAACCTTATTGAAAAATTATTAAATGCAATATTGTTGTTATGAATAATATATTCTGGCATACTGATGTATGAGTCATATAATTCATGAGCTTTCGAGCATAAATTCCTTTTGTTAATTTTCAGATTTGTCAAATTAGTTCTGGGTGATGGTAAGATGACAGCTCAGATATATACTGATTTTTTGAAGGCACACATGGAGCTATGGTTCAAGAAGAAGCAAAATCCTTTCAGACTATTTTTTATGCACAGCATTACATTCAGCAATGAAAACTAATACATGAATAAAAATTGGTTTCAAAGACACTCATTTGATGAAGTGACCAACTTATTTACTTGGCCTTAACCTAATTGAAAACTTGTGAAACATTCTAAAGAAGGTTTACATTTGTCTAGGGCAATTTACAAGATAAATTTTGGAAAACTATTCTAGATGCTGTACAGTCTGTTTCAGATGACAAAAAAATGTTATTTATTGATACATTCTTCTCATAAAGACAAATAAATAAATGACTTCTAAAACTAATTTCCAAACATGGAGCATACATTTCACATTATTGTTTCTTTAACTTTGTTATCATTATATTGACATTTATTTTTTATTTTAAAAACACTAATTTTAATTTTGTAAGCTTTGTGTATATTCTACACTTATTTTTGTAAACTGTAAAATTAAGAAAAAGTAAAAGTTGCTAATGTGAGATGCAGCTTATGAAATAATGATCATAGAATTAAACAATTTACCTTGTTCTACACAATCATGAAATAACTGTCACAGAATCACAACTTACCTTGTTCCATATAGCTTACAGCCAAGTCCATTAATCCCGATTCATTTCGCTTACTACTTTTTAAGTAATCCAGGACATAAATATTAGGAACAAAGCCAACCATGTTTTGTTCTCCACATCCATAAGGCATCTGCACAAGATTTTCAAGTCCAGATAATGTTGGGCCCATTAAATCACCTAAAGAAAAAATATTGTTCAAGTTATATAAAGATAACCAACAGAGATTAATTCAAGATGAAACTAAAAGAAAATTATGTAAATTTAACACAAAGAAATAAAAACAGGACTTGAAATAAATAATACAATGCAAAGACTCATCTATTCCATAATTCTTTTAAATTAAGTTTAAGTTTCAGTAATAAAATGAAAAGGGGGGAACAAAAACAAAGTTTGTATCAGTGTAATTTCAGTAATTCATCATCTCATAATTATATATCTTAGCAGTACTTGAAAAAATTTTGTGGTTTTCTTGTTTGAATTTCTGATGAATCATAATTCTTAAGTTAATGATTGAATAAGCTCCTTGCATGTTCCATGACTATAAAATACCTGTGAAAATTCCTCTATTGTATCATTAAATATTTGAGCTTAACAACAAAATATTGCAATAACAATCATAAGTACAAACACAGGCCATTACTTAAAGAAGTATGAGTGTACAAATGAAAAGATTAAAAAAAAAAAAATGACAAGATTTTCAATTTCACTGAAGCAGACATTAAATGCATGAGAGCATTATTAACTCCTCTATCTTCCCTTCTTTATTATGTATGCTTTCTTTTTCTCACTAAAACCAAAGAGATTTTCTAATATATGTTTATCTTCCATCTTTCTTCACAATCAAAATTGAATGGTCTATTATTTATCCAAGGTAATGGCAGAAGATTTATTTTTAAACCTATATTTCTAGCAACACATATACTATTAGATGGGTTAATGATCATAACCCAGAGTGAAGCTAGCCAGAAGTAAATAAAAGGCTTAAGGATTTATTCTGTGAACTGAACTAAGAATTTGTGGGCAGGATGACAGACAAGCTATTACACTGGGTGTATTGCAGATGATAACTAACTAATTAATGGGGGAACAAGTAGAGTATAAATCACTTTTTAATTTTAGAATTCATTTTTAATTTTGAGCATTATATTATAATAATATATTATTGAGCATTATATTATAATAATTTTTAATTTTGAGCATTATATTATAATAATATATTATTGAGCATTATATTATAATAATTTTTAATTTTGAGCATTATATTACAATGATAAAGTTTCTTTGGATAGGACAGAAGAATACTGCTAAAAATTAAACAAGCTTTTCTCTTTGAAATTAATTAATCTCTTTGAACTAAAGAAAAGATTACATGTTTTTATTTTAGAAAAATGTATTTGGTGGCATATACAGCAACATACCAAATGTCATAGAATAGCAGTATGTACAGGTAATGGTAAGGAGTATCATGGAAATGCCCAGAATTATTGGTTGGTGAATCAATATAAACACCAGTTAAGAGTGCTGATGTCAAGGTGATGTAAATGTGTTCCAAATTGATGGGACATTTTTGGAATTGTGGTAACATTTGACATAGCACAATCTATGGGATCATGTGAACCAGGAATACATGATGGAAGGCATTACCACCCTACCATGAACAATGCAGTGGCTGACCATGTGTCCTTAATTATTGCAATCAGCTAAAATAACAGACATGTGACATTGGCTTCAATGTGCATTCAATGGGTACAAAGTTCATCTTGACAGGTTAATTCAAAATTGTTTTGGGTTACAGGCACATAAGACCCATCAGAAAGATGACATTAAACATCACCCCACTTGGGTTTGCGACAGTACTAATTGAACCTTAGTGAAGTGGGGAAAATGTGGTATTGTCTGTTGAGTTATGGTCAGGACAGATGTCACAGTTCAAGTGTGGCACAGACCCAATTATGCCATGGAACCCAGCTGTCAACAAGGCAAGTTGGTAATGGTTCCATAAGGGTGTGAGATATAATCGCATGTTGTGCATTGGAGGAGGCAAGGTGGAGTAATGGATAGTGGCTCGGATTGAGGAATCAAAGAGCTGAGTTCATTGATTTCAGTTTAAATTCCAGTCAGATCCATTACAATCACTTATGTACTAATACCCTTGGGAAAGGCATGAATCCTCCTCACCTCCAGCTATGGGTAAATAGCAGGACAGATCGGGTTCTATAGCCATGAATGGCAACTAGTCTACCACAGAAAGACATGGCAACCTACTGTGGGAAAAATCTGCGTTGTCAGTCATGTATCAAAAGATACATGATCGCCTAAGTGTGTATCATGCATGACACCTGACTGACTGATGCATTGTATCAGCTGATCCACCTAATTGCGTCATTGATGAATAATCATTACACTGGACTATTTTGTGCCTATTCAGGCCTAACTAGCCAAGAATTGATTTTGGAGACTTGAACAAATTGTGCAGCCACCACATTCACCCATCATGATCCCCAATCAAGCATTTATGGAGTGTGGTGTAGAGGTCTATTTACATGTAAGATCTTGCACTTACAGTTATCAAGGAGCTGTGGACATGGCTCAACATCACTTCATTGGTCTCCTAATCATTTATAGAACCCATAGAATGTGAAGTTGCCACACTTTACTAGACTAAATGAAATCAATTGCTAAGTGTGCTACTAAGTTGGTTCACTGTGTCATGCTATACAATTTTTTTCACCAGAATCTATCTTACACCTTTACAAGTTAACCATCTATCTATACATTGAATATTGTTGCTACACTTGCTTCTGAGATTCTTGACAAGTTGCAAAGAATCTGCAATGTTATTGGTCCTGACCAGGCATCTTTGCTTTAATCACTTTCCCATCACCATAACATAGCTCCTCTTTGTCTTTTTCAATAAATATTTTCATGGTAATTGTTCTGATTAGTTTTCCTCTTTGTTGTCTCAGCTTCATGAATTTCAGAGTAGTACTAGATTGGCAGCTAGGTCTAATCATTTTACTGTTGAAATTGATAGATTTAACTAAGTTCCATTCTAATATTTTGGCCTCTTGCATTTCTTGCCTGGCTTTCCTTTCAACTATTCAAAAATTTAAATGCAGTATTGTCATCTCTTGTCTCCTTGAATCCTGTTCTTTTCATTGTCCTTTCTCCACAAAGTTTTTTCAGTTACTTTCACTTTCAGTATCCCCCTGCATCTTAGTAGCTATATTGCATTGTTTTGGGTAAAATGATTACTATATATATATATATAATTTATAATAAATGTACAAAAAGAAATGTTTTAACCGGGATGAACAGGAAACACAGATAAAGTTCCAATAACATTTGATGGGTACAATCCATGTAATGTGGCCTATACTGAAATTTACCTAATGTCATTAAAACATGAGAAAAATTTACAAGTTGTTCACAGTAACATTTTTTTTTAATCCTTTCATCCCCAAGCAAGGTAATAAAGCCACCACAGGTTACTGAGTGTGAGAGAATGTGAGAAAAAAAACTTTATTAAGGAGAGAGAACAATAAAAAAAATGAAATTATGAAGACAGAAGATAATGATTGACATTGCATTTTTGAAAAAGGAAAGTAAGAAGTTGAAAGAGTAGAAACTTTTATCATAGAACTTATGGTTACATCTAGCCATTTCAACTGTAAAATGATAAGACCTTGCTGCCAATTTAGAAGTACACTAAAATTAATAAAATCTAGGTACAAATGGTTTGCTAGTTTGATTTTAGAAGACAACAGTTATGTGAAGATAAATTATTCTCATTAAGATACAATAATATAGTAATTCTTGCTTAAAAAACTAAAATTTTAAAATATAGATAAAAAATGGATAGAAGTTAACAGAAAACAAACTAGTATAAGCTCTATGAGCTTGTTTAAATGTCATTATTGTTAGCAGCAGATGCAGTGAATTCTTCCAGGGTTCCATAATATCACATATTTGTAGTACAGATGACTGTAACTGCATTGTATCTAGTTGATCTACCATCAAACCTTTTTTTTTTTAAATTATTCCTTGCTGAAATGAGAGGTTTTAATATCAATGAGTCTTATATGCCATGTAGAGAGTTAAAATGGTTATGACAAGAGTGGAGGTGGTTGTTAAGTTGTTGAGTGGCTCAGGTGTGTATTTACTACCCAGCACAAGTATTGAACTGATAACCTTCAACTAATGTAAACTTATGCTTTAATAAGTTGACCTGTTCAACCTGCAGTTGAAAATGGTTCTGCCCATTGATTTCTATATAAATATATGGTTTTTCCACCAGAGAGAGATTAATCTATTTGCTTGGTGAAATTATATCAGATTAAGTCAACAGTGGTAGGAGGTGAGGATAAGGAGGATAGATAACAATTGGCCATTGACTTGAAGAGATTATGATTGTAGTGTCCATACAGTAATCTGCTTCACAAAGTGGCTGTTCTTGGTGAAAAAACAGGGTGGAGTTTTATTTTTCCATTTGGAACACAAAGGAAATGAGGATGCTTTGACTCAGGGGAAGTAGTTGGAGTCTCTTAGCTGTAAAGGTCTAAACTAATAGAACTAAAGATGGAGCTCATCTTGGGAAAGATAGTAGAATGGTTTTCTATTGCTCTCTCCAGTTTGGAATTCAGTTTCCCATCTCATAGACTGGTCACAAGGATAGAGAGCTCACCCTACCATGCTCCCCATATACATAGTTACATGACAAGAAAATGTATGAATTCTTACCAATTACTGACACATAACCTCTTTGAGAATCAGACACAAAATGAAGCTTAGGTAATTCCAAGCTGACTTTCTCATGTTTAGCCTGTTCATTTTCTAAAATAGAAATAAAAATAGAAGAAATTAGAGATTAAATATTTTCAATATTATGTTAAGATGTTATTACGGTGGATACTTGTATTAGAAATAGACACCCATTTTTATTTTAAACAGTGTGTATTATGTCTGTCAGTCTGCGCATTTAAGAAATCTTAATAAAGAAAATGTGCACACTGGCAAAAATTGAATTTGTGTCCCCCTTTGTAGGAGCAACCAATATTTGATCAGTTGTGTTTTACCACTCAGCTACAGAGAGCAGGAAGGCTCTATTTTTCCTTTTAAAGAAAGCATACTTGCTTATTAAAAGTGAAAACCGAGTCTGGCTGAATTGTGACTCTCTGTAGCCAAGTGGTAAAGCACACCAGATCAAACAGTGGTTTCTCCTACAAAGGAGAATACAAGTTCAATACTGGCTGGAAAGCACATTTTCTTTAAGATTTCTCAAATCTGCAGGCTGACAGATGTAATACACACTGTTTTAAAATAAAAATAAAAATGGGGTGTCTATTTCAAATATGAGTGTCCACTATAATAATGTCCCAAGTAATAAAAAAATGTTGGATTAAAAATAAATCTATCAATTCTCTAGAGTTTTTAAAATGATGACACAAACTAAAACAAGCATAAAATGTTACTTACTCTTCATACAAGTATATGAGCTGTATGTGTATTCTTTGGAGACACCTTCAGCCTAGAAAATAATATTTACAAAGTGTATCAGCCATAAAGAATAAAAATAATCTCAGTACTGAAATTTGAAAGACATATCTTTAGATACAGAAGACATTATATGAAGTAGTGCTGAAATGTTCTCAACCTGAGAATTTTTCAGCACCCACTCATATAATAACCTTACTCTAAAAGTAATACTCACATTAGTTTCTGTACACTGCTAAGTTCTTTCTTCTTAATTTTCTATGTATTTCTTTAGTAAAATCATTAGATTTTACTTCTATAACAAGTCATTATATTTTACATTTATTTTAACATTTTTTATGTAAAAATTTCATTGATAAATATTTATTTTTAATTTTATTATAACTGTTACATTTTTTAAATTTTAAATTAACCATAGCATTTCTGAGTAGCAAGATTACCATGTTAATGATTTTTCCTTAATTTTTTTCAGTTGTTGAGGATGTCCTAATCATATGAAACATTGCTAAAAGGACAAAAATGAAAACATCCAACTGGTTTTTCTATATTTCACATTACATACTATTATACTAGGTACCTCCACTTTTTTTGTGGAAAACAGGCATAGCAAAATAAAAAAGGCTACAAATTTAATAAAAACAAAGTTTTATCATCAAAACATTTGTTATTATTAAGAGGAAAGATCGAGGTATTTTTTGATTATTTTGTTGAAATTTTTAAAATCCTTTCTCGAACATTCAAAATTTTGGTTCAAAATCTTGTTTTGTTTATGTCAGCAGTGGATATAATAATTACAATTACCTTTTTTGTAATTTTTTTTTCTGGGGAAAACACATTGTCAGATTTTAATGAAACTTTCAGGACTTATTCACAAATGAATGAAATTATGTTTGAAATATTTTGTTTTAGAAAATCTTGGTAAAAAAATTTTTTTTTTTTTTTTACATATGTAAATGTATTTTCATGAAAATTTACATATTTAATTTCATATTTAATTTCATGTGTAAATTTAATTTCATGAAATTTCACGAAATTCCTTTTTATTTCCAGAATTTTTTTTATTAGTTAAAAGTAGGACTCCTTGGAGAATGTAAATAATCTAATTTTTTTTTTTTTCAAACTTTGGCTATTCTAACTAAAAATCTGCTCTGAATAGTGAACTAAAAAAAATGTAATCAAATTATGACATTATTTATATAGAAAAGCTTTTAATTGCTTTTGTAAAAAAGTTATATTAAGGACACTATTGTCTGAAGAAATAAATTTTTTTTCAATGAATAATGAACTTTTACAAGATTTTTTTCATTTTTCTTACAATTTTAATTATAATAAATTATAATAGTTTAAAAATCGTGATTAGTTTCATTTTCACCTCCAAAAAACAGGAATTTAATATGTCACTTTGTGAATATATACAAAAGAGAATATTACTATGCATATAAGAATGAAAGAGAAGGTTGCCACACGTATAAGCAAGAAAGAGAATATATATACATGTTGTTGGGTCAGATGGAGTGAGAGATGAAAACAAATACTGAAGCTAAAATATTTGCTACTTACATTTACAAGTAATTTCTTGGAGATAATGTCGGTGACAAGATTCTTCTTTACCAGTTTAGGTCCACATTCTTCGTTGTTATTATTTGACTTTGCCTGAAAAAAATTAAAACTAAATATCAAATAATCTTCAAATAATATATTATAACAAAAACATGTAATGAATCGCCTGAGGAGATGCATCATTATACATTGAAAAATGACTGCAATTGTGTAGCGATGTTTTTGTTGTAATATCTTAAAATAAATAATATTGCTCTACTATGTATTGAGCCCTCTTTTAAATTAAATGTTACAAATGTTGGAAGTGTGTTCTAGTCACTCTCATTGTATATATATATATATATATATATATATATATGTGTGTGTGTGTGAGAGAAAATGATATATAAATTTGGGTAAAATTTAACCTTCATGCCTGAAAACAAAAAAAAGTAACTGTATCAAAAGAATCGTTATTCCTTAGACACCACTATTACTACATACACTTTTGACTCCCTTGACAATGTTTATTTACAAGATTATAAAAAAATGTGAACCATGTACACTGTGATATTTGTTATTTATCTTTTATAAAGATTTATTATTTACTATTTTAGAAAAAAATGAATTTGAAAAGAAATCTTTATTAAAAATTGATAAAAAACTTATCAAGATATGTAAACAAACTATAATGCAATATTTATTATTTACCATTTTATAAACAACTATGAAAAAAGTCATATTTATAATTTTATAAAAATATCAATTAACTATAGAACAACAAGTTTAAAAAAAAACAAAAAAAAAAAAACAAGATTTTATGAATAGAAAACATTCTTTTCAGATTATTTCTTGTTTAATTTTCCAAATCATGATCTCAAGAATAAATAAAATGTATAAAACCACTTTCATGTTTGGGTTTTATTAAAATTCTAATTGTTAATTTTTAAAACAAACATTGCTAAGAGAGTCAACATCTACAGTAATAGCAGTGTCAAGGAAATAACTACTATTTTGATACAGTTTTTTGCAGGCACAAAGTTTAGACATTGACTAAATTTATATATACCATAACAATATTAGGAAAATGAATGACAAAGTGGAAAAAAAAAATATATATACCCAAAAGCATATTTAGAAAAAAAAAAAATTTGAAAAGTTTACAATTTCATTTTCTCTTCTTCACAATTATGTGTTTTTACATCAATGTAAACATCTCTTTAGTCCAATGAAGCTGTAAAGGATGAAACGTGTACAAAAGTTTATTTTCCCTTTGTTATTGAATTTCCTAATATATACATTTTTAGGAGAATAAAGAAATTAATTTTGTGGTATTTTTTTGGTAAAAGAATAATCCAAAAAAATTGCAAACAACAAAACGAGATATTAAAATCTCAAGTTTTTGCAATTAATAACATTTTGATATAGATAAAAAAATTTGTTACAGGCTAAAGAAAAAATAAAGAACATTTGAAAAGACACGAGTTAAGTCCCTTAGAATTGTTTGCACTCACTTGACATGGGTTTCAGGGGAGGTAAATTGATTAGAGTATGATAAATATAGTATAAAAATTATTTTTTTTTATTTCTTCATCAAAACTAATAGGGAATCTAACTCTTTACAATCATCATTATCACTTATGTGTTGTGTCCATTCATGACTCCACAACTTCCTGTTCCTTATAGCTCTAAGCAATATTTGATGCTTTACTATCCTTCCTTCTCCTTGCTCTGCCATTTATTTCTACAAATTTATTAGGTTAAGTTGCTTGGTTAGGTAATAAAATTTTATCAAACTATTTAGGAATTATTCAGTAATAAAAAGAATTAGTTTTTAAAGCTATTTTTATTTCTTTAATTTTGTGGAAATATTTTATAGGTTTATAGTCACTGAATTGAAATATACATGCGTGGAGATCTGTGTCTCAGGGGCTAAATTCACTTTTTATCTGTATTTCTGTGTAACATGAAAAGAATATAAGCCAAAATGTGCAACCTTTTGAAGTAATTAGTTATGATGGCAACTGTATTTAAATGGAATATATTTTCTAATAAATGTTGTATTTTAGATGGACAAACGATTTGAAATTTGATCATCATGCTGTTACTGAAGTGAGAGGTTCAGAAATAGTACTAACATGTTTTTGAGTGTAGATAATTTACTCAAATACCAAAGACAAGGTATAGCATAAATACTGGAACACGGAAATGTAGTAAAAAAAATATCAAAATGAAAAGAAAGAAAAAAGAAAACAACAAAGTACAAGATATTTTTTGAAGTACAAAAGTCACCAAGGCTTATTTAAAAATTTCATAACAGCAGATTTTTCATACTGTTTTCTTGTCTTTTCTTTTTCTTAGATTAACATAGGGAAATTATCCATGGAAATATTTACAACAGAACAAAGGACCAAAATAGTGGAATTTTTTGAAGATGAAAATGACAATGCAATAAAAGTCACTAGTGAGTGGTATCAGGTCATAATCAAGACTTTTTTGCATCCAGCAATGCAAAACAAACCAGAGGTGATTTCAACAAGATTGAGTCACTGCACACACAGCCCAGGCAACAATGGAGCTCCCAAGGCAAACTTTTGGTCACCAGATAATTTTGCAAAATTTGTAAATTTTATGGCCACCACTTTCTCCTGATCTGATGCCTCAAGGAGCATGTTCATATATATATATAGCAATAAACCACAAACAATTCAGCAACTCAAGGATAACATCTGCACAGAAATTCAAGGATTGAATCCAGAATTATTACTACTGCTATGGAGAATGTGTATTATAAATATAGTGTGAAGTCAAAAAAAAAAAAAAAAAGAAAAAGAAAAAAAAAGGAGGATATTTACATTGTATATTTTTTCATAATTAAATAGAAATATTTTTCCTGTGTTTGAATTTGTATTCTGTATAATACTATTTTTGAATAATAATAATAAAAATAATAAATAAAAACTAGATTTTTAAATCCCAAGATGATATCTGGGACAGCCTATATTTATCTGTCTTTCTTCAGAACAGTCCCTTCCCATCATGCATTCTTATACCATCAATATATATATCCTTAGATGTATAATATGTGGGTGGAGGTGGGGGATGTGTATTCATTTATTTATTATGAAATTTTTCACCCCAACCTTAGAAGTACACCATTTATTAATTTCATGCATTTTTTAACCCTTTAAATAATTTTCCAATACCACCTTTTATTAAGACCCACTGCATATTGAGAAAAAATTTCCTCTGCCCAATTATTAAGACTCCACTCATATTAGGTGCCCAATAGTACCTCCCCAATAAAGCATGATGCATATAATATATTCATAAGCATGAATGCATACATACATACACATACATACTTACTTACTTTACTGTTAACACTACAAACCTAATTATTCTTTCAATTTTCTTGTTATTAAACTCTCATTTAAGATAAATATTACCAAGCAGTAATGGTGCATCAGGATGTGTAGTGGTGTGATGGATAGTGTCTTGGAATGAGAAATCAGAGGGTAGAATTTGAATTCCAGCTGAGCTTGTTACATTCACTTACAGACAAAATATCATCAGAGAAAGGTATCAATCCATCTCTTCTCCCACCAGCTATGGGTAAATATCAGGACAGACTGAGTCCTATAGCCTTGGTTGGCAACCAGTCTAAGAGAAGGAAAAGTGAATTAACACCAGCCAGGAGAAATTCGGGCTCCATCAGGCTATCTTGCCCAAGACTCACCACTGCTTTTACATCTGCAATACATGTGGTGCTCCTTCAACCCTAATTAGTGATGGGACTTGAAAGATGTATCAATAAGTTTGTAGCCTAACGGTCATTAGATGAAATTTGATTTAAAATTTTCACTATATAATGTTTGATTTATGTGATTAGTATTAAGCACTGATTAAGTGCATTAACAAGGAATGATATGTTGGCAAATATTTGTGTAAAATAAATCCTTTATTTCATCATTAGGTATGGGCTTATTAATATACCCATATACATTTGAATACATATTCACAACACCCACTAAGTATAGTGATATTACATGAAAAAAATTATTTCACAGCGGTGCTACTAATAAACATTCCAAATAAAACAAGTAAGACTAAAAGAAAAATGAAACTGTTTACTTACAGTGACATTAATATCAATAAATCCAAGTTGTAATGGAATGATCGTATAGATAGCTGTATGTGATTTACTACCACAGATGCAGACATTGGTTTTAGTTGGTCGTTCAGTAATCAGGTAACTCTTGGATTTGGCCAAAGTAATTTTAACCTGTAAAATACATGAAAAAAATTCATATTAGTACTGCTAAAAAAAAACCAAAAAACACTAAAACATACATCAGATGATAACCTTGACATGAGGCATCAGGCATGGTTTCAGGGTTGAAACAGCATTAGAACTAACACATAGAACCCCAGCATGCTATTATTTTTCCAAACGGCAGTGTGGAAATCCCAGATAAAAAACCAGCTTCTGTCAAATCTCAGAATCCCTTCATATACTTCCTCTTATCTTAACTTTCTAGTCAATATTTATACTATTTACATTCAGACTATTGTCCACATTTTTGTTGTTATCACAATGTTCTTGCCATTGTGCCCTCCAACCTTCATCATGTATATCAATTAGGGTAACCAACAAGGAATTCCAAACTGAAACCTTTATTTAATCTATGAAAGTAGACTGTTCTCAACCCACTGCCCATGAATGAGAACAGTCTACTCCTATAGATTAATAAAGGGTTCAGTTTGGAATTCTCTGAAGGTTATCTAAATCAATATACACCTGAGGAAGGCTGGAGAGCACAATGGTCAAAATGTGTGTGTATCAGGGTAGACGTTAGCCTACAGGGTGTTTGTGTGTGTTTGGGCAGACATTATCCCACATCGTGCGTGTCTGGGTAGACATTAGCCTACCAGATAACCCAATATTTCACATGTAAGATCTGGGAGATATTTTTAAGCTAGCCTTTTTTTTAAATAAAAAAATAGGTAAGACATATTTTTATTTTACATCAAATACAATAATTTAATCAAGTAAATTTTAATTGAACTTTTTCTTTAAGCCTTTCACCTGAAGCAAGGTAATAAAGCAACTAAGATATAAGGGGTTACTGAGTGTGAGAGAATATGAGAAAAAGAAAAAGATTAAGGAGAGAGAACATAAAAATTACAGAAATTAAGGAGACAGAAGATGACGATTGACACTGCATTTAAAGTTTTGAAGATCAAAGTTGACTGGGAAACAAAAAGCCAGAATAGAGTTCTGTGAGAAGTCCAAGAGAAGAAACTGATGGTTAGATCTACCCATTTCAACTCTAAAATGATGAAACCATGCCATCAATCTAATAGTACATTTAAATTCATAAAATCTAGGCAACCAAGAAAAAGACACATCAGAATAATTACCATGAAAATATTTGTAGAAAAGGCACAGTTTGGTTTGGTTTATTTTGTTTTATGGCATATGGGTTATTTAATGCCGACAACATTTTTTATTGCTGGTAATATTTTGTTTTGTCAAAAATCTGTTTCTGGTAATATTTTTCTTTCAACATTGTATTGCTGGTAATAATTTTTTTCAAAAATGTATTGCTGGTAATAGTTAACTATTTTCCCATAGCTGGAACCTTAACAGGTGCTACCACCCCGGGTCAGGGTGAACCTGGGAACACCAGCAATTAAAAGCTGGTTCCATGCTCCTCAAAACCTTCAGATCAGAGGCCTTGCTGCTGGATGTAGTTTATCGTCTTACCCAGGACACGGATGTAGTTTAATGTCTTACCCAGGATGCAGAAAAGGCACAGGGAAGCTACATTATGGCAATGAGAAGGTGACTGAACATAGCTTCCCTATTTTGATAATATATAATCTCTATAAGATATAAAATTTTAAATTGTTGAATTATGAACATTCATAAAGACTTTCTAGAATTTCACTAGGTATGAAAAAAATAAAATTTTTAATATTAAAATACTGTCAAGTGGAAGAATTGGATAAATTAAAAACAGTAGCTATACATACATTTATGCAAGTTGTCAAGAAGTTGAACACTGACACTTTAAGGGGAAGTTTTTCCCCCCGTACTGCTGCATAAGGAAGTGTATAAGAAACAAAGAATGGCTTAAAAACAGTCAAAGAAGCTGGTTCAGACACACCAATTCCAGTTTCATTGTTTGTGCAAATTGTATTGCCAATCCAAGTTGTAATTGTATCAGGTACTTTTTCAGCCATCACTAATTTTCCATCAGGCCTAAAAAATAAAAAGAAAAAGAAAAAAAATTCTGATTTTTCACAATTATTTATATTAAACATTATCAATTTAAATAAGAAAAATCTATTTTTGGACATTTCAGTGGTATTCAGTGGATTACTGGACAAGTTAACTGGTGAGACATACTATCAGTTACTCACTTACTAAGACATATTTCAGTACTTTACAAAGGTTTTTGATTTGATGACTCTTATAGATATAATAAAACTTAACCACATTAACTTTAAAGGGAGAATCATCTGATTACCTTAGAGCTATCATTCTTCTGGCTTGCTGCCACCTTTTGTTATCTAGATGCTATCAACAGATTAAGGATACCACCTGTTCAATAATACCCCCCCAAGTTTATTATTGATGGTGAAATGAAGAAACATTACTTATACCAGGAATTTATAAATTTTCCATCACTAGTGTAGGCCCAAATTACCTGACTAAATATACTATTCAGAATGAACATAAAATTTGGTAAAATTACTAATTTTAATAACTGTAATGGCAAACTTACGGTTATTAAAAACAAACAACTCATGAATGGACACCTAAGAAAAGATTGAAATTCATTTAAATGCTTGTTTCTCTCTAAAATTTGTTGGTGACTCTCTCAATCATCTTTGCTGTTTACCTGTGTTCTATATATATATATATATATATATATATATATATATATAAAAACATAGGTAAGCATTAAAGAAATGAAGTTTTTTGATTGAGACAGTCACCATCAAATTTATATAAACTTATAATATATAAGTTTTTAAGCCTGGAAAAATTATTCACCAATATTTTTATATAAAAATTTCGTTGTTGGAAGTGCTATCTGATGATCTGGCATCCTTTTAAAAGGACTCTGGTGAAATAAATTATTATAATGGTACCTTAAAGTGGTCTGTTTTTCTTTTAAATTCATATATATATATATATATATATATATATATATATATTATAGTGTACTTAGGCAGAAAATGTACTTTAAGGAAAATACTATTGAAAATGGCAGACATTTTATGCTGATTAAATTTAATTATCAACTTTTCCAAATTAGGAATAATCCTTCTCAGACAAGGAGGAAATTCCATTAGAAATTGACCAAAATTCATTCTGGAAGAAAACTACAGGAAATACAGTCTAAGTTTATGACTAAGTCATCATCAGGGTAGGTAGAGACAGTTGGTGAGTTTAGTAAAATTTTGAAATCATGTAAGAATGCTATTTTTTAAAATGAGATGTTCGAAGAATGTCATGAAGGTGCATGGAGCACATTTTGGGATATAAAGTCATAGAACTAATGAGTGTTGTGACGTAAACAAAAACTGTTGTGAGGTTTTTTGTTTATGAAATACATTTAAAGATGTGGGCTCTTAAGTTATATATGGGAAAACGATATAAATTTTTATTTATCTAGAAAATCTAACAGATCAAAATATATTTTTCTACCCACCTGTAACAACTACAATTGAAAAGAATTTATCTAAGCTTAACATAGAATTTGTTACAACTACTAAAAAATTAAAACTTAATACAAAACAAAATAATAAGCTAAAACTTGGAGAAATTTACTCTATCACTTGCATTTATTGCCACAATGAATACAAGAAACTGCAAGGAATATAAATAAAAGATGATATGAACACAAAAGGATGGATGGATGTTGGATTTAACGGCATGTCAACTCCTATTAACACAAAAGGTATAATGTACAAAACAACATACTCAATGCATGAGTTGTTCACTGTAATGAGTTTGACAATTATTTTGATTTAAAAATGCTACTCTAATTAAAAAGAAAGGAACTGGTTCAGATAAAAGGTACTTTAATCACTATATAATCCACAGTAAATTTGCATCCAATTTCTTAGAATATTTCACATCTTGGTAGATCTTCTATTATCACAATGTGGGATATTTAATAAAAGTGATAGTGATGAAAAGAAAGACAAATTCAATGAAATCAGATCATATACCCAAAACACTAAAAAAAATAAATTCAATGTAAATTCTCAGGAACTCTTGCTTTGCGTAGCCACATGCAAACATCACTTTAACCCAATGAAGAAGACCTAAAAGATGAAATGTGTTAAATGAAAAGTTTTCCCCATATATATATATATATATATATTTCTACATACATATAAAACAGTTTTGGTGGCTAAGGTGGTACTGGTGCCACTAGCAGCTTTTGCCACCAGACAGAGTAATGTTTTTCGTTATGTTCAATTATATATATATATATATATATATATGAAAATACAATATCACGTATTGAGTACTGGTGCTAATAAAATAGTGTAATAACAGAGCTATAATTTATATTAATAATAAATTTACATTTTTTTCCCCTCACTTGTAGTACAACTGAGTTTCATGCACAACACAATCGTCTGGTGCTGATTGATTTATTATTAGCATATAATTGTGTAATTGGGGCGCAATCCCTCTTTTATACAAGTTTCATTAAAAATGACTGACAAAGTCCTGTGGTTAATTTTTTTTTATTTAATTTTTCTTGTTCTCATAATTTTTTTTCTTTTCTAGACATAAGTTATATAGATACTGTGCAAATGTTCTGTATGTCCAAGTGCTTTCAGCTATATTTTTAGTCATCAAGGATGATAATCAATAATGTTTTCATTATTTGTAGCCTACAAAGGCTAAAAATAATGAAAGCATTATTAATAAAAAAAAAGAAAAAGCCAACACACAACAACATCAACTATGAACATAGTCACAATGTACTGACCATGTTTTGAAAATCATACATTCCTATAACTCTAGATATATACATAAAAAATAATCCAGTCTGTTAAAAGTAAAAATAAAATCATCCTTGATAATAGCTAAAAGTATAGGTGAAAACATATATATATATATATATATATATATATATATATATATATATGTGTGTGTGTGTGTGTGTGTGTGTGTGCATGCACCTATTATGACTGTGGGATAGATTTTGAAATTACATGACTAAAATGACTTTACAGTTCAAATTCATTTTAACATATGCCACTCCAACTGCAAAACCAATTAAAAATTCTAAAACTGTAGGGCTCATGTTAGCCACATGATACTAATATATATGAGGTGCAAAATCCATATTGTACAATCAATTTCATTTAATTCATTTTTGTAAATGTAAGCGTTCTCAAAGCAAATTTGTCACAGATTACTTTCACAACACAAAGAAAAATCACTAAGTACAGACTCGAGTATCGGGGGCAGAAAGAAATGCTGAAAACTCGATTCGCCGGTACTATCTTAAATCACAATGCATGTAACCAGTCAGGAAAATAACTCACACTCCAACAAACGCTGTAGCCAAAAATGCTCGAATTTTCCTTCCTCCGAATCGAGAACACCAACTGCTTTTATCGGCAGAACCTATGTTTTTCATTCATCGACAGCTGGGATAGGATGCTCAGTAATTTGCATATCAATATCCTCTTATAGTGACTCCTCTGACGGACTTGTTTCTTTTTTCATCACAGAATACATGCGACGCGCCGTCGCTTCAAGGTTGACGAGGTAAATCACCGTTTTCTTAGCTATAAGATTTTTTGCTGACTACTTTTGGTAATCCTTCTTGACAGATCGCTTTAAAAAATACAAACTTTTTCCGAGGTACCTGATTATCTCTTTCACTACAATTTTTTAAACATTGAAAAAGGTTTGTTTTTTTTTCTATATAAAAGCTAAAATATGATCTTAGATATTTAATACTCACAATCCATTTCAGAAACTTTTTATCCAATACATAGATTACAAGAATATGGACATAACAGGAAGAAAAAAAGTAATGTATGCCATTGACTATGAACTGAAGCAGATTTTAAGGTCAAATTCTAAATGCTTTCTAGAGTTCATAACCAATCTACTACACATTTCTTTTGCTATATTGTTCCATTCTTCAAAAGCAAACAGTTCTAAATACTAAATTTGAAGGTTGTCTTCATTGAACTCTAAATTCTAACCTTAAATGAAGATGTTTTTCTTGGATGCTAACATGTTTACCGAGTAAACAGCTTACTGTACAATGTGGCACCTTTACTCTGTTGTTTGATAAATACAAAACAATATCTTTCAGCACAACATTAGGGTTCATTTTGCATTCAAAAATCATTTGAGAGGCTTTTTAGGCTTACAACTCATTCCAAGAATAGTTACAATGGATTTTGTCTCACATTATTTTTAGATAATATACTGTACTTGGGTATTGGAAACTGTTTAGTTTTTGCTCCAAAATAATGTGCATGTTCATTATGGTAAACTTAAGTTCTTTTCAAAAATATGTACACCATATAGTGTGACAAACTACCTGACATCATGTAAATATTATATATTTTATGGAAATCATAAATAAAATAAAGTTTGCATAATTTTGTCATTGCCAATCTTTTTAATGTTGTATGTATAATGCTACTCTTGGGTATCAAAATAAAATGGAATAGAGAAGTTGTAATAAATGGAAGAGTAAGAAAATACAATAAATGGAAACTTTAAATAAAAGAGAAGATGGGGAAAAAATTAGTAAATCTAATAAACGGGGATTTCAATAAAATTTAATGATTAAAAGCAATTTTTTCAAACTTCAGTGAGAGACCAAAAATAACTAAATCTAAAACATCTTAATGGTTTCTCACCACAATACATATCAAAACAAAATTTTCTAGCAATTAAAAATTAATAAGCTGGGTTGGGTGGGGTGTCCTGATTAGCTTTGTGTAGGGATGAGGGGGAGGAAAATCACCAAATTATCAAAGGGTGACACTGGAGTATACCATATTGAATAAAAAGTTTCTGAAATTGATTACAAGTATTTATTGGATGTTTAAGATATTATTCTATTTTTATATATATATATATATATATATATATATATATATATATATAATAATGGACTCTCCTGTCGGTTTTGACATATGAGGATCTGACAGATAAGTTGATTCAGTTATAAAATTTTGTGCGATAATTTTAAGTGGCATTTAAGACCCGCTAGTGATTTACAAAGGAGGTCACATATGGAGCATACGCACACAAATTTTATTTTAGGATATTACATCAAAAACACGTAAAAATGCTACACAAAATGTTTTGTGCACCGTTTTTACATCTTTTTGATGTTTTTTGAAAACTAACATCTTTTCCACTATCTCTTTATCCCATCTTCAAGTTAAATAAGTTAAAAAAAGTAAAAGAGAATGGTAAAAATATTGTTAGTAATGCTATACTCGTTGCATAAATGCATACAACCATAAACAACCAAACAAGAAACAGCTAAATATCTTATAAACGTAAACAATGGAAAAGATTCATATTCGGTATGTTTGATAATATGATACTAATATGTGAATATTACATGCATTATTATTGGATGCAGTTAAGAAAAACATCAGTTTTATCAAAATAATGTTTATTTTAAATACAGCTGTACTTTTTTATGACAGTAAATGGATATATAGTATGGTCAACAACATAGCCAGGGGCAGCAGTACATATGCTAATTATATATCTAATGTATGATGTGACCCTCTTAAAATTAGCTTAAAAATTAGGCCATCAAAAGTCATATGATATGAGATCATATATATATATATATATAAAGGGTGTTCCAATAACTTGGACCGATTTTAAATGTGAATTAAGTTTAATCATCTGATGTTTTCTTTTAAATTTGGCGAACATTTGGACGATATTATTTTTCACACATAATTGCCATGACTTAAATAACATGATCCAATAGAAAAATAAATAAATTTTCACCAATAATACTGATGTATTTACTGCTGACTTTGATCCATCTTAATGAAACATTCTTATATATAATCTGTCTTAAGGAAACACCCTTTATATATTATGATTATGATTTTTGTAAATTAATTTTCTGTATCATAATTTTCTGAACTTTTGTTAAAAAATAGTGAAGAAGGGTTTAATTTAGGTTATTTTTTTAAAAAAATGTCACCAACAACAGGAAATTTCTAAAATTGTATATAAGTACAATCGTACTATGACTTTTTGGAACATTCTAGAAATTGTTTTTGTTTATTGGTAAGGTTCTATATTATGCTATAGCTATAAACTATTAAATGCATTAAAAAATACCTAAGTACTATATAAATACACCATTAGCAAATTGAAAAATAAAGCTCCTGAAATATTTTTTTTTTTTTTTTACCCCTATTGTGTATATGGTAAAATCCAATTTTCGGTTTGGGGGTGAGCTTTTACAAGAACTAAAACAAATTAATGCCTTTTCCATTAGTTTTGAAGAAAAGTTCATCGATTTATGACACAGGAATATAGGGTTACAAAAATGTACTGACTCTAATGTATATGTGTGTGTGTGTGTGTGTGTGTATGTAGCAATATTAAACTTAATAGCAACTAAAAGTTTTTACAATATTTAAGTTAGATTAGATCTAGATCAGTTTCAGATATCAATCTAGTTTTAAATCATTACACCTTCTAATTTGGGAATTTATTACAAAATGTTCAACACTTATATGAACTTGGACAATTATGCAAGTTTTTAAATCAAAAGATAAGTGTCATACTTTCAGATTTATAAATTGAACATTATACTGTCAGTCAATTGAGTGAAACCCTAGAAATAAAATTTGTATAAAAATTAAGCAACTTTATACCTCAAAAATATAAAAAAAATACAACTGAAAAATCAAAAAACAAAAATGATGAACAATATATTACCCGACATTTTGTAAGTCCCACAGCCACGTCTCAGGAAAGTAGGAACGAACTGGCTCTATTTCTACATCTTCTGTATTACTTTCGTAAACACGCAATTTTCTTTTCATCTTCATTGGTTCAATATAAGCTTTAAAATAAAAAAAATTACACAACAGAATCTGAGTAATGTTCAAGATTCAATTCATCTAGGTTAAAATGTAAAAGAATTCAACAGATAAATTATTTACTAATAAGCACAAGATCAAAATTATGAGGTACCAAGTAAAGATCAAAACACATGAATTATCTATAAGTCCAGTTTGCTGACCATAAAATCATTAGGAGTCACCCAATTCAATAAATTGAAAGAATTTCAAATAACAAAGAATGGATTTCATCATATCTAAGGCATAACTGATCTCATGTAAGTAATAGAGGAGATGGGGGCTATTCTTGAAAATTATTAGGTAATCTCAACTTTAACTAAAAATAAAAGGTTATTTAATGTAGTATTCTGTCATTTTGAGGTCCAATTTGAAACAAGAGTCCAAAAAGTAAGTAAGAATGCTAATTCTCTGTATCAAGATGCAGTTGGCATATGCTTGATCCCCAACGGAAACAGTGTCAGGAATATACTAACTTCAGGATAAAGGGTCAGAAGATATGGAAAAAAAAAAAAAAAAAAAAAAAAAACATTTAAACTGATGCTACGAGGATATAGATTAAGATGTACTAAAAAAATCAATTGTCCCCAAATTACACTGTGTATTATAGATGAGAGACTGCTCACTGAAGACTTCAGCTGTACAGCTAGGTGATCCAGTAGAGTTACAGTTAAAAGTTGGCATTCAGGAAATTAAAGTAGTGAGGCAATTGAAATATTTTGGCTTGATTGTCAGGGAAGAGAACTCCAGAATAAAAAAGTAGCAGGAAAAGTGGCAGCTCTCTCAAAACTAAAAGTCATTTGAATAGGAAGAATATTTACATGAAATCAAAGACCAGACTGTTGCATACATTGGCCTTCTCAATCTTTCTGTACACCTGAAAATCTTGGATATTAACAATAGAATTAGAATCTAAGCATTAGAATAAGATGCTACATAATCATCCTAAGCATCTTCTACATAGACTGCATCACAAATAATGCAATGTGAGACACCATCAAACAAGAAACAGGCACAATGGATAACCTCATAGCCACCATCAAGAAGAGAAAGTTGGAATGGTATGAACATGTCATAAGAACCAACAGTTTTCCACTGCCATCCTAAAAAGTAACATTTTATGCAAAAGAAGAAGAGATAGGATAAAATGGTCTAACAATGTCACTGTGGACTGTAAGATCTTTCAAAGAGACAGACATTGACACACAACTGACACATGGAGTGTGTGTCAGTTGGTTAGCTGCACAGCAACCCCATCACCACATCCAATCATGATGATGAAATTAGTTAATGAAAGATCACTAAATCTGTGACAAGGTCAACAGATGTAAAATATTAAATTTTTTATTTTATTTTTTTACACCATATTCATTGTCATCAGTCAAATTTTAAAATAGTCCATGATACATTACTTTAAAATAACCATAAAGAGTGCTTGACATTAAAGTAAACATGGTCCAAAAATTCTTGATATTTTAGATTTCTTACAGTAGAATATTTATTAACATTTTATTCAATCCATAAGGGTAACCTGTTCTCATTTCACATTGCATGCTTAAGGGATACCTTGTATCATTTACTTCTCCTTAGTTTATTCACCTTTGTATGGCTTGTCCATTTCTTTTTTTCTACCTGACATAAGGGATTGAACTCACAATGGTGAGGTGTAAGTTCCACTTGAGCAGAAGTTCCACTTCCCACGAACTGCTGTTTTGTGGAACTGACTCTGAAGAGAATGCTCCCCAATTACTACACTCTTAACCTGCTCAAGTCCAGGGTCAACAGTTATCTTCCCCACATATCCGCTGTAACCATCTACATCAAGTGGCTCTTGGGCCTTGTACAGAGTGAACATCATTGTAAATAAAAAAAAAACAAACAGAAGGAGGTTAGGTCGTGCAGAAAAGTCATATATTCTGGTTCCTTAGAAGAAAAAGTTCCACATAGTGGAAAAAGTGACACATAAGGAATAAACTACAGAGAATTAATTGATAAAAGATATCCACTAATCATAGAAAGTAGAATGAGAACATTACCTCTGTGAATTGAATAAAGGATTTGGTTCAAAATTCTTAAAAGATTATCAAGTATGACAAACATCTGAAGAATATTGAAGGGTACAGCGGCTGAAGAATATTGAAGGGTACAGCGGCTGAAGAATATTGAAGGGTACAGCGGCTGAAGAAGAGAGAACAGCACAGCGGCTGAGGAAGAGCGGAGCCTACAGCAGCTGAGGAAGAGCGGAGCCTACAGCGGCTGAGGAAGAGTGGAGCCTACAGCGGCTGAGGAAGAGCAGAACCTACAGCGGCTGAGGAAGAGCAGAGCCTACAGCGGCTGAGGAAGAGCAGAGCCTACAGCGGCTGAGGAAGAGCAGAGCCTACAGCGGCTGAGGAAGAGCAGAGCCTACAGCAGCTGAGGAAGAGCAGAGCCTACAGCAGCTTAAACCAAGATGAACATGTTGGATGGAGTAGAAAGACATATAATAAGAATAATAATAAATAATTTTCATTTTTAATTTATTCAAAGTAAACAAAAAGATTATAAACATCATTTTTAATTGCATATTTTTTTTTAATTAATAATAATAATAATAATAACAACAACAAAAACGCTGTAAGGAACCATGATTGCACGCATCATGAAGGAACATAGTATATAAAGTGTAATTGATACTTTCTATGAGGAACAGGTTTATATTTGTTTTTTTGTTTTTTTAGACCAGCACACTAAAAATTATGTATCAGAAAAAAAAGCAGCACTTGTGATGAGTCTGAAAGGGAGATTCCCCAAACACAATTGTTGTCTTGGATTACCTTAAAGACATCATTCTTCTGGCTTGCAGTTACCTTTCATTGGACTGATGTTATAAGCAGAGTATGAGTTTCACCTGTTCTATTTTCAGCTGAGTTATTATCCAAGGTGAAATGTACACCCTTATATTAAAAATTTATGAATATATAAAAGACATTAGTCCAATTCTTTACCACTTGTGAAAGCATAAATTATCTTATGTAAAGAGAACTATAGCATTACAAAATTTGTGTCTTTGCCTTCAGCTCAATTATAATTTTTAAAAAATTATCATATGATTGGCTAGAGGTAAAAAAATTAATTTACCTGGCCAGTTGGAGCTAATTCATCAGAACGACAGCACTTGTTCTCTAAAATTTTCTCTCACCTGATATGACCAAAGGTATATTCGCAGATGCAATGACAAACAGGATAACTTACCAAATAACACCTTAATTCACTTCTCTTTTTCGTATCTACTAAAGTTCACTGTCTGAGCTTAATGCATTCAAATTCCTTAATATATATATATATATATATATATATATATATATATATATATATATATATATATATATATATATACACACACACAATAAAAATATAGTCTTAAGGTATGCTATATTTATGGGTTAAAGTGCTCAATATCAAGGATAGAGCATATGTAAATATAAAAGTGGACATTGAAGCCGACATCCAGCAGCAACAGTCTGTTTTATGCTTAAATGTAATTGTCAAGCTATATATATATATATATATATATATATATATATATATATATATATATATATATATAAGGGCAAGCATAAGTCATGGACAGCTAAATTTATAGAAGATACTATGCTGAAATAAAGTGAATATTTGGTTTAAATATCTAAGATAGCAAGAAAATGCCTATGCTGATTTGAAGAAGTGACTCATTTCCATTAAAAGCTTGTCTAAGTTATTTTTGGCTTTTTAAAGAGTTCTTCTATCTGAAATATTTGACTCTACCAAGGATCACCATCTTTGCTGCTTAAATATGTTCTATACATTTATTAGGTAAAGTTTTGGATTTGATTGCAATGTACAGAGAAAATAATTTGAAATGAGATTTCTTAAACATTTTATTTAAAACATTAAAATGACAAAAGAAAAATATAAATATCTGAAAATAGAAAAAAAAAGGTTATTTAAACAAAAAAAAAAACAAAAAAAAAACCAGAACTCATTTTGTAACTTCAAATAATCTAATAAACATACAAAAATTCATTTCTATTGTTATTTAGAATAATAATAATTGTATAGACATTCATCAGAAGATGGGTAATGAAATATAAAGCAAAAGAACAAACTTCTGTCCAATTTAAACTTTTTGTTACAATAAAGACAAAAGTGCAAATCATAGAATCCTGAATTCTTTCAAATCTTATATAAATTTTGTAACCTTAATTCTTTTTGTTGTTTTTAATGAAACTATGAAAATTAAGATTTCAATAAACAATTTTTTCTTGTTACAACAGCAAAATGTCCTTAAAATAGATTAAGTGAAAAATTTAATAAATAGCAAAATCAAACAAAAGACATACTAATCAGTTCAATATGTTGAGTCATGTGAAGTAAAGGGGAATTTAGACACTAATCAAAAGCAGGCAGAATAAACCAATTGGGCCTACAATTTTGAGGATGTATACTCCCCTTGATGGAGGCAAAGCAAGGACCATTTGGAAAAGAATATTAATATTGTAAAAATCTTTTATCCTCTTTCTATTCAATTACTCTACCTGTCCTTAAGTATATGTATACATAAATCATAGGTATTTAATACTGGCTATAAAAAATTTGAAAAGGGAGCCTATATTCCCCATCTGGCCTGGGCCTATAAGTTTGGCATGGACCCGCTTAGCAGACTATTCCTATCTCAATGCACTCAGAATGAATAAAATGGGCCAAGAATGAACAAATGAAAAAAATAAAATAGAATCTCAGAAGCTTTTCAGCAGTTTTTTTCTGTTAATATTTGGATTTGCTGTATAAAATGGGGTTTTTTTTGTTTTGTTTTTTTAAAAGAATATTGTGTAAAAAAAAAATAAAAAAAAAGTAATAATTGTTTCAAAAGTGAATCTCAGATATTAATACTTTCTGTTAAATATTTATTTTTTTTTGGTAGTAATACTTTATTCCAATTTTAAAAGAAATTTAATTATTTTTATGA